AGTCAGTGGTTGTGCCCAACTTGTTCTGACAGAGTCCTGACGCCCTGCCAGCAGAGCAAGCTCCAGCCTCGCACGAGGAGGAACCATCTGCCAGTTGGCTTCTCTCTCTGAGGTGCTGAACATGGAGGAGAGCGGATCCTTAATGAGCGCATCAGTGGTGCTTGGTGTTCTTCTGCTGGAGACCTCCAGGAGGATGCAGTGCCGTGCAGTTCTGGGTGAAATTTTGGCACCCTGCTCAGACTGACTTTCTAGATCTGGCCAGGATGTTTTCTGCCTCTTGCTTGGTCCACTCCTTGTCCTCTTCCACCACCAAGACCCAGCCCAGGTCCTCTCTTCCACCAGGAATGTGGCTAGTTGATCCTTGTGGCTGGAGAAAGCTTGCCCTGAGTCTCTGAGGAAAACACTTCTCTGATAGGATAAACAAGAATTAAAATGTACAGGGGATTTTTTTTTTTTTACGGTCTGCATTAATGTTGTGCTGTTCCTGTTGTTATAATAACAGCAACATAGGACCTCCTGCTTGAGTAGGGGGTTGCACTAGAACAGTGGTTCTCAACCTGTGGGTTGGGACCCCATTTGGGGTCGAACAACCATTTCACGGGGGTCGCCAAACAAGGCTGTCCGCCATTTTTCCCCCCTTTTCTTTGGCCACGCCCCTGGCACCCAGTGATGTATAAGTGGTTGGGGGTCACCACAACATGGGGAACTGTATTATGGGGTCGCGGCATTAGAAAGGTTGAGAACCACTGCACTAGAAGACCGCCAAGATCCCTTAATTTTATTATTATTTTATTTTGGAATAAGGGTCCCACATTGGACAATTTGGAGAAGTCACTTCAGAAAGTTAGTTGCCCAATGAAGAGGGTTTGGGTGGAATTCTGCAGGGTGGAGTGTGAAATTCTTTGCACTTCCATAGTTATAAATGTACACTTAAGTTTTGGCACACACGTGTGACCAGGCAGCTAAGGGATACGTGTGAATGTCTCTGTGCTCGGTCCCATGGGGCTGATCTGGATCCCTGCCCTGGAAACCTGCTAGAGAAGTTCTCCCTCCCCTGAAGGGATCCTGAGTGATCTCTCGCCCAGTTTCTCCCTGCCCAAACCAGGCAGAGACGCTCAGAAGGTGCTTAATTCTCTGCCTATGAAATGTGCTTTGTCCGAAAGGCACCTGGATTTTCTTGGGGGGTTTTTCCCTTGAAAACGTTTCACTTCCCATCCGAGAAGCTTCTTCAGTTCTGAAGGGAAGCTGAAGAAAAAAAAAAAAGAATTGAAGAAGCTTCCCGGATGAGCAGTGAAAAGGGGAAAAAAACAAGGAAAAAAACCTTGGGGACAACCACCGTGACGCGGAAGAGTTGAGCATCCCCAGTCTTCTCTTTCTAGGGAACTGCAGGCGTCCTGGGAAGAGGGGAATTCTGGGAAAAGTTCCCTTTTTCCTTCTGAAAAGCGAGGGGGTGGGATTTAGGAAGGGGAAACCAAAGACGGTAGAGACAGCTCACAGGGCTGTTTTTGGAGAAATGAACTAGCATCACACAGGTAAAGATTGACTTGGACTTATGACCACATTTGAGACCAGAATTTTCTGTTGTTACGTGAAGCAGTTAAGTTAGCCATGCCCAATTTTACGACTGTTTTGCCATGTTTGTTAAGCAATTCCCTGCAGTCATTAAGTGAATCACACAGTCGTTAAGCGAATGCGGCTGCCCGCCATTGACTTGTCAGAAGGTCGCAAATGGGGATCACGTGACTCCCTGGACTCTGCAGCCGTTGTAAATGCAGGCCAGTTGCCAGTCACCCCAGTTTTGATCACGTGACCCTGGGGGTGTTCAGCAGTTGTGAGTGCGAGGACTGATTGTAAGTCACTTTCTCAGTGCTGTTGTCACTTTGAATGGTTGCGAAATGAATGGGTTGTAAGCCGAGGACTACCCGTATTCTCCAGAAAGTGTGCGTGTGAAGTTATAATGTGCCCCAAAGATGCATTAGAAATCCCTGCATGCAGAAAGCTAGTGTGCCAGGACAAAAGGCTGCAGCTTCGCTTCCTTGCGGTGCTGCTGTTCTACTTGCCACCCCACAGTCAGTCTGGCTCCTGGTCCCTCAGCTCCTTTTTTGGGTCGTCCTTTTTGGTGGGTTGGGTGATGGGGGCTAACCCGTTCTGCCTTCCTCCCCTACAGGTGCGTCTCTTTTCTTCTAGCTTGTGCCCAGCCAGCCGATCAAAATAGAGTCCCTCAAGGTGAAAGTTGACTTTCTGAAGGTGCCCCTCGGCCTAAAGAAGCCGACTCTGAAGGAGGCCGCGGCTGCCTTGGTGGCTGTCCCGGGGCCGGCCAGATCCAAATCCAGCAGCGTGAATCGCTACAAGGCTCGGCATTCAGACAACATGGACAACGAATCGCAATATTCAGGGTATTCCTACAAGTCGGGGCACTCGCGCAGCTCCAGGAAGCCCAGGTGAGCTGGCCAGCCGGGCTGTGTTTGGGGCAGGGGGAGGAGGAGGAGGTGCCCGGGGGGGGGGACTGGAAAGATCTGGAGAACCTTGGTAGAGGTTCAGCAAGGATATCAGTCAGGGGCCTTACCTTGAGAAGTCGCTCCATCGCTGGAGGTTTTTAAGAAGAACCTGGACAGTCACTTGTCTGAAATGGTATCCGGTCTCCTGATTGGGAGGGGGGTTGGACTAGAAGACCTCCTGTGATTCTGTGAGATAAATAAGATACATTGGTAGGTAGGTAGGTAGATGATAGCTAGATAGATAGGTAGATGATAGATAGATAGATAGATAGATAGATAGATAGATAGATAGATAGATAGATAGATCGATCGATCAGCTTTCCTCCCAGAGTTGTGGGTGCTGCATCTCTGGAGATGGGGGTCCCCAACCCCCTGTCCGTGGACCGGCACCAGGCTGCGGCATGCCAGCAACCGGTCCACACAAACGAGCACAGCCCCATCTGCGGGATGCAGGCAGTACATGAAACCGGGCCCCCTCCGGTCTGCAGAAAAACCTCTCTCCACGGAACTGGTCCCTGGTGCTCCAAAGGTTGGGGACTTCCAGCATAGGGGCTCCTGCTTGAGCAAGGAGTTGGATTCGAAGACCTCTGAGGTCCCTTCCAACCCTGGTGGTCTTCTATTCTGTTCAGTATTGCTTGCTGCAAGGGGTCCTTGGCGCTCTCTGAGCTTGGTGGTTTTCTTGCAGATTAGGTAACATCATTAATACTAATCAATGTTGCCTAGTTTGGTCATGAAACGTCTGCAGGAAGAGCACCAACTTCAGAGAGCACCAAAGACCTCTCCTTTCAATCCAGAGCCACAAATATTCCCCTTTATGGCCGTTGTTTGCTAACACTAGAATGGAAACAGCTTCACAGGCGCTGGGAACAGCCGCCTGGCTCAAAATTTGAATGCCAGAGAACCGGAAGTCTTTGCTGCCACCTAGTGATGATCTGGAACGCTGCGGTTTGGACTTGGTGGCCTCCTTCTCAGTCCGGCTCGGAAATGTTCCCCTTTCCGCAGGGGGCGCCCGGAGACCCTCCAAGGGTCAGTTCATTCTGGAGGGCAAAAGGAAGAAGCCTAAAATTTAAACTCAGCAAACTTCTCAGTCGTATCTCTCAGTCTCAGCAACTTCCTTCCGTTCCCAGAATTCCCCCGCCTGCCGCTCCATATTTGAAATCCACTCGTCTTAAAAGTTGCTGAGATTGAGAACAGAGATTTGTCTGAGGGTTGTGAATTCTTTGCGCTGTACCGAACAATGGATTGTCGCATTGGAGGCTTCCTTCTTGTTTGCAATAATGACGTTGCAACATATTCGGGAGTCAGAAAGCTGAATTGAGGACCTGCGCTATATGGCTGAATCTGGTGTGAAACTCGACTGACTGATTGCCAGTTCCTCAGCTCTGAAGTTTGGAGACCCCCAGGGTGTAGTGTGACGAGTAATCCCGGCTGTCCTGGATTCAAATTCTTTGGCCTACGACTCCATGCAAGGGATACCTCAAGTCCCCTTTTTGTGACTCTCGGAGCCACCCCTGGGCTTGTGGATTGTGTAAGGAAGGGTTTTTGCTGTTTGGCGGTAGAGAAGAGAAAAAAAAAATCTGTGACAGAGGCTTCCAAAGAGGGTGATGGGCAGCCCTCGACTTACGAGCACAACTGAGCCCCAAATTTCCATTTCTAAGCGAGACGTTTGTTAAGCGAGTTTTACCCCTTTTTAACCCCTTCTTTTGAAACTGCTGTTAAGTGAATCACTGCCGTTATGAAATTGGTAGCCCAGCTGTGAAGCGGGTCTGGCTTCCCCATGACTTGTCCCCTTGTCAGAAGGGCACAAAATGTGAGCACATGAGGCTGCAACCGTCATAACTGAGAACCGAGTGTCCTCATTTTGATCACGTGACCGTTGGGGGAGGCTGCAGCGGTTGTTAACTGTGAAAAATGATCAAAGGTCACTTTCTTCGATCAGTCACTAAACAGACTGTTGTAAGTCGAGGACTGCCTGCCTGCCAGATCCTTAACTTCGTCTTTCTTCCACGAGCAGCAGCTGGAGGGGGGACCCCGCCTCCCCGTCCCCATGGAGCAGCCGGTTAGGGAGGAGGTGGGTGCTGCAGTGCTTGCCAACGGAGCAGCCCCCCTAACTCCCGGGACCCCCCCCTCTCGCCCCGCAGAGACCGCCGAGAGCGGCACCGCTCCAAGAGTCGAGACGGGAGCCGAGGCGACAAGTCGGTCACCATCCAGGCCCCTGGAGAGCCCCTGCTGGACAACGAGTCGACGCGAGGCGACGAAAGGGTGAGCGAGCAGACGGGCCGGGACCCCGCTTGGCCCCCCCTCTGGCCTCCGGGTCCGCTCCGGGGTACGGCTTTTCCCCCAGGATGGAGTGAAAGGGTCCCTCGGTGGAGTTTGGGGAGGCTTCCCTGTGCGGATGTCTTTCCGGCCTGGGCTTGAGGTGGAAGCGGGAAGAGCAGGTGGTCTCACCTCTGGCGCCTGTGTGGCGGGCTTGAATTCTGCTCCTGCTCCTCCTTTGCCTGCCCTCCATCCATTTATCTTTCATCTCTCTTATCTCCAACACAGGGGTGTCAAATTCAATTTCACTGAGGGCCACATCAGCATTGCGGTTGCCCTGCGGGGGTGGCCAGGGGGAATGCAGCCTACTGGGTGGGCATGGAGGGAGTGGGTGTGGCCTATTGGCTGGGCGTGGCTACATCGTTCGCGTCAAGGGTGCCTGTGGGGGCCTGGGCAGGAGTGGGACAGATCTGAGGGTCTCTGCAGAAGGGGGGAGGGACCAGGGCAAGTGCCAAGGCATGGTCCACTGGAGAAGCCTCACCGTTCCTCTCAGGCCATGTGGGAGGGCTGGATGGTGGTACGGGCTGCCTGGAGCCCTGGACAGCAGAGGTCAAACACCCAGCCTGGCTCTCGAGCACCCGTGGCACCAAGCCCAGCCCCACTTCCCCAAGGGGTCACCCAGGTGCACTTACCTCCTCCTCAAGGCTGCTGCTGCTGTGCTTGCTCTCCTTAGCCAGGTTGCTCATGATGGGTACGAGGGCAAAGTCAGAGGGAGGCGCATTCCCTCTCCAAGTGGGGCGCCACTTCCAGGCGATGGTCCATTTCTTCATTCCTCACAAAGGGTGACCCCTCCCCAGCATGCACCCAGGGGGGCACGGCACGGCAGGGGCTGGTTCCTGGCTGTTTCCAGACGGCCTTGTGGAGCTAAGACTGAATGCGTTTCAGCCTAGATAGCCACCACAAAATTGTACATTGGCTCCCGGCTGGCCTGGGCCAGGATCAAGGCAGCGGGGGCCGTTCCCTCACTGTTTCCAGGATGGCTTCGTGGGTTGCATGAAACCATTTTGCGGGCCGCATCCGGCCCCCGGGCCTTGGGTTTGACATGTCTGCTCTAACATCTGTCATTTCTCTGTCTCCATCCCTGCAGCCATCTATCTCCCCCCTCCTCCTTTTCTCTCCCTCCCTCCCTCTATTTCTCTCATTATCATCATCATCATCATCATCATCATCCAGCAGGGGGAAGAGCCTGAATGTGTGGGTAGGAGGGTTTCCACAGTTCTGCTTTCTGTCTATTTGGGATCCTTGCAGGACACCTTCAACCCAGGGGTCCTTTCCAGAACCTTTGCGACTGGAGGGGACAGTTCCCCCCCCTTGACCCCCTCCCCCCGTGGCCTTTGTTTCCCGGCAGGATGACAACTGGGGCGAGACGACCACTGTGGTGACCGGCACGTCCGAGCACAGCATTTCGCACGATGACATCACACGCATCACCAAGGACATGGAGGACAGCGCCCACCTGGACTGCTCCCGCCACCTGGGGGTCTCGCTGGCGGGGGCCCTGGCCCTCCTCTCCTTCCTGACCCCCATCGCCTTCATGCTGCTGCCCCAGCTGCTGTGGGGGGAGCAGCTGAGCCCCTGCGGGACCCCCTGTGAGGGCCTCTTCATCTCGGTGGCCTTCAAGCTGCTGATCCTGCTGCTGGGCAGCTGGGCGCTCTTCTTCCGCCGCCCCAAGGCCTTCCTCCCGCGGGTCTTCGTCTTCCGCGCCCTGCTGATGGTGCTGGTCTTCCTCCTGGTGGCCTCCTACTGGCTCTTCTACGGCGTCCGCATCCTGGACTCCCGCGACACCAACTACCAGGGCATTGTCCAGTACGCCGTCTCGCTGGTGGACGCCCTGCTCTTCGTCCACTACCTGGCCGTGGTGCTGCTGGAGCTGCGCCAGCTGCAGCCCCACTTCACCCTCAAGGTGGTACGCTCCACCGACGGGGCCAGCCGCTTCTACAACGTGGGACACCTCAGGTAAGTGGGTTGGGCGGGGTGCCTTGGTGCAGTCGGGGATGGGCAGAGGCTGTGGCTGGATGCTGTTAAAGGTTGAGGTTCATTCTCTAAGCTCGTGGGGGGCTTCCCTTGAGTGGTCTTCAGGGGATGTCGGTGGTCTTTGGGCTTCAGTGTTGAAGGTCTCGTCCCAGGGTGGAGGCTGCCTCTGGGTGTTTTGGGATTGCACCCTAGGGGGCCTGTGGCCACCTTTGCCCGCTTCTGCCACAGTCGTTTCATTTCTACAGGGAGTCCTCAACTTACAACAGTTCATTTAGTGGCTGTTGTAACAAGTTCCGATGCCACCGAAAAAAGCGACTTTTGGCCATTTTTCACACTTAGGACCGTTGCAGCATCCCCAGGGTCACGTGGTCAAAATTCAGACGCTCGGCCACTGACTCACAGTTATGATGGGTCGCAGCGTCCGGGGAGGGGCCGTCACACGATCCCCTTTTGTGACCTTCTGGCAAGCGAAGTCAATGGGGGAGCCAGATTCACTTAAGCATCGTGTTACTAATTTAAGAACTGCACTGATTCGCTTAACAAAGGGGGCAAGAAAAGTCGTAAAATGGGGCAAAACTCACTGAACAAATTTCTCACTTAGCAACATAAATTTTGGGCTCAGTTGTGGTCGTAAGTTGAGGACTATCTGTATTTGCAGCTCTTTGTATTTTGCCCCTTTTCTCCAGTTCTTTTTCTTCCCTGGTCTCCAGTATTACAAAGTCCACTATCCAGATTTTTTTTTTTTTTGTTATCGTTATTATTGTTTGCATTGCATTTGTGGAAGAAGCCAGAGTGGCCTCCCTCATGCCCAGCCTTCAGCCATATAAAAGGGACACTAAAGCCCATCATGCTGAAAGCAAACAAGCTACATTCTGCCTTATTGTGCTGTGTAACTGGATCCCTCGGTGATCGCGCCGGTTACCTCGTTGTGTCCAACTAAAGCTGCATCTAACGTTTCTTTCTCCGCAGCATCCAGAGAGCCGCTGTGTGGATCCTGGAGAATTATTACCACGATTTCCCCGTCTACAACCCGGCCCTGCTCAACCTGCCCAAGTCCGTTCTCTCCAAGAAGATGTCTGGCTTCAAGGTCTACTCCCTTGGGGAGGGTAAGCGTTGGCAGCCCCTTCCCACGCTGTGGGGTTCAGTCCTCAACCCTCCGCCCAGAGGCCAGAATTTCCTTTCCTCCAGCTCTTGGGCTTAGCTTCCAGGATGCTTCAACCAGGTCTCCTGGAGAGCTAACTCGATTGCCGGGTCCTTCTCGGTCCTGGGCGAGTGTGATCTGGGTCAAGATCATGTGAAGCGTTGGTACCACTTTATAATGCCTTGATAAGGTCACACTTGGGGTACTGCATGCAGTTTTGATTGCCGTGATATGAAACAGACATTGAGAGTTTAGAAAGAGTGCAGAGAAGAGCAACAGAGATGATTGGGGGTCTAGAGCAGTGGTTCTCAACCTTTTTAATGCCGCGACCCCCCCCCCCCAAATGGTCGTAAGTCGAGGACTACTCAACCGGTTGTAAGTCGAGGACTAGTCAACTGGTGCAGCACCGTTTGCAGAATGGGACTTTTGGAGGGCTCAGCAGGGCAGAGACAGCCTGGACAATTCTTATTGGCTTTCAAAAGCCAATAGAATAAAAGGGAGTAGCACAGCTAAGGAAAAGGGGGGAAAAATGGTGGACTGCGTTGTTTGGCGACCCCCGTGAAATGGTCGTTCGACCCCAAATGGGGTCCCGACCCACAGGTTGAGAACCACTGGTCTGGAGGCTAAAATATACGAAGAACAACAATTGTCTGGTCTAGTGAAAAGAAGGACCAGGATGACACGATAGCAGTCTTCCAGCATTTGAGGTGCTGCCACAAAGAAGGGGGGCGGGGGGTTCAACCCATTTTCCAATGCATCAGAAGGCAGGACAAGAAGCAGTGGATGGAAACTAATCAAGGAGCGAAGCAACCTGGAATTAAGGAGAAGCTTCCTAACGGTGAGGACAATTAACCAGTGGAACAGCTGGCCCTCAGACGTTGTGGGTGCTCCATCACTGGAGGTTTTTAAGATTAGACAACCATTTGTCTGAAATAGGATAGGGTTTCCTGCTTTAGCAGGGGGTTGGACTAGAAGACCTCCGAGGTCCCTTCCAACTGATAACTGTTATTTTGCTGGCATCCCGAGCCTGGTGCCCTCCAGATGTCTTACAATGCGAATTCTGGAGTTCCCAGCTGCCGGCAGAGCAGTCCCAGCTTGTCTAGGGGGTGCCAGGCTGTGGGAAGGCTGTGCTGATGTCTGTGCCAGCCCAGCAAAGGGTGCTGCGTTCTTACTTCTCTTGTGAACGGTAGGTTAGATGGGCAGCTGATCACCCCAGCTGGACAGAAATGTTGATTGGTTTAAACCAGTCGATCTCAGCTGTGGCTGCTTGAAGATGTGTGGACTTCAACGCCCAGAATTCCCCAGCCACCATGTCCTCTCCCCCTCCCCCCCCCGAGATCAAACGTGGACTGGCTATTTGGGAGTTCACTTGGAAATTTATCCACTCGTTGCGGGTCTAAAGTCTCGACGTGTGACTGTTCAACAATACTTTGGTGATATAACAGCCATGGACAAAGCAACTTAGGCTCATCCTCCAAGTTATGACGGTTACACCATCCCTGCAATCGTGATCACATTTCGGCACTTGGCAAACCAGCTTGCATTTATGTCTGTGTGAGCGCGACTTTTCATCGTCCTGGCTGGTTTCCTACAAGCTAAGTCAATGGGAGAAGCCCAATTCACTTCACAACTGTGGTAAAAATGCTTGTAAAATTGACTCTGGTCACATGGTGACTTGATTTATGACTGCATTGTTTAACAACCAAAATTCTGGTCTCAACTGTGATCATAAGTTGGGGGATTCTGGGAGTTGAAGTCCGAAAATCTCCAAGCTGCTAAGGTTGAAAAACGCTGACGTAGAGCATGAAACAGAGAATTTGGCGGCCCAGTTTTTGGGGGTGGTTTGTATTTTTTAGCAAGGCACATTATTCTCCACCTAAGTGAAGAGACAGACTCTTCCTTTAGAATCATAGGGCTGGAAGGGACCTTAGAGGTCTTCTAGTCCAACCCCCTGCTTGTAATGATGGTGCTTATGATCCTCCACTTTGAGGACATCAGGTTTTAGAGGCATCTCAATAACTCCGTTGAATCTTCCCTCTCTCCTCCGTCCAGAGAACACAACCAACAACTCAACCAGCCAATCGCGAGCTGTTATTGCTGCAGCTGCCCGGAGGCGGGACAACAGCCACAACGAGTACTACTACGAGGAAGCCGAACATGAGCGCCGGGTGCGCAAACGGCGAGCAAGGTGCGTCCCATCAAAAGGGCGTGTGTGTGTGTGTGTGTGTGTGTGTGTGTTTGTGTGTGTGTGTAGGAGTGATGAGTCTTTCCTAACTGAGAAAGGAAACAAGCTCAGGTTCCCACAGAGGGAAGATTCCTGACAGCTGAAATTGGACCCTTGTAGGTGTGTAAATTCTTGAGTTGGTTTGGGAGAAAAATCCTCGGATCAACTCCACTTCCAAGGAATAGCCAAATTGGTTTTGGAGGTGTCCCATTTATGAAATTTATTTGCTGCCCATCTTGTATCCAATGACCCCCAAATGTTAATTGGCTTCAGCTTTGGAATTTGATTTGGAAAACTGGGGGATCCTGGTTGCTCTCTGAGCTTGGTTGTTTTCTTGCAGACGTTTCCTTACCTAGCTAGCTACTAGTTGCTGCTAGCACTGATGGAGTTACCTAGTTGGGTCGTGAAACGTCTGCAAGAAAACAACCAAGCTCAGAGAGCACCCAGGACTCCACAGTCGTTGTCCTTCTCCTCCTCCTCCTCCTCCTCTTCCTGTTTCCACAAAACCCCCTCCCTTCTAATATTGATGATGTTCCCTAGTTGGATCATGAAACGTCTGCAAGAAAACCAGCAGGCTTAGAGAGCACCCAGGATCCCACAGTCGTCGTCGTCGTCGTCGTCCTCCTCCTCCTCCTCCTCCTCCTCCTCCTCCTCCTCCTCCTCCTCCTCCTCCTCCTCCTCCTCCTCCTCCTCAAGCCCCAGTCCCTTTAACACTGATGATGTTACCTAACTGGGTAATGAGAAAACTGCAAAAAATCCACCAATCTCTGGGAGCAGCAAGGCCCTTACAGTTCAAAGCCAAGCTGAAAATATTCTCTTCTGTCAGTTTGGAAAACAGATTCAGTCCTGACTGAAACAGCTTCTGCCCCTACGAGCTTCATATAGGCTGCCATCCTCAGTAATAGGATTAACGAGCTTAGGAGAGAGTAATGTGCTTTCCACATCACAGTTGTAAGTACCCGGTAAGCAGATTAGAATGCAGAAAGACAAATTGCACCGTCAAAGTGCTGGAAATCCTGGCGGGGTCCAAACTGGAGGGCGAAGTGAGTGCAGGTAATCTGTTAGAGAAGTTAGGGTGCAGATGGCCCTCCCCCAGCATCCCCCCCTCCTTCTTCCTTCCGTTCCTCTTGTTTGGGAGCCCCTTTTAGGGTCCTTTACTTCCTCCCCTGTGCTGGCAAAACCTCAAATGAGAGGTTGTGAATGTGTGAGCCCTGGTGGGCAGCTTAGTCTGTGCTGAAGATGGACCTCCGTCCTCTTCTCCATCCTGGTTGGCCCTGGAGGAGGAGGAAGGGGAGGGGACGCTTTGGAGACCGTGGCTTGCTGTGACGAGGCCTCCGTCTCTGCAGGTTGGTGGTGGCTGTGGAAGAGGCCTTCACGCACATCAAACGGCTCCAGGAGGAGGACCAGAAGAACCCGCGGGAGATCATGGACCCTCGGGAGGCCGCCCAGGCCATCTTCGCCTCCATGGCCCGGGCCATGCAGAAGTACCTGCGCACCACCAAGCAACAGCCGTACCACACGATGGAGAGCATCCTTCAGCACCTGGAGTTCTGCATCACCCACGACATGACGCCTAAGGTAGCCGGGCGGGGAGGGGGTGGGAGGGAAGGGAACCATGGCTGCAGGCAGATGGTGGTTTCCATCGCAGGTCCTCTGGTTCAGTTGAATTATTCTGCAGAAAGAATATCAGCCTTACCAGGTAGGCCAGCCAGGAAACTTGGCCAAGTAAGGCTACATTAACAGAATCTTGCAAGTCGGAAAGGACGAATCTCCCCGTGTCTCCTTTACAGCCTGAGAAACTGTTCCATGATCCAGTTGATCTTGGGGATTGCTCTTGGAGTTTTCTTCCAAAGGAAAAGAGAATTTTGACAGGATCAGGGTGCTCCTTGCTTCTTTAATGATAGGGTAGCTTGGACGGGTGGGTGGGTGGGAGTCCCCTCTGGCTCCCCACCTTCCAGTCGGTGCTGCCAGTGAGGCCCAGGCCGTGGTGTGCAGGGTTCAGCACGATGGGGAAATGCAGGCACACCAGTGAAGCTGCCCAGGCAGAGAGGATATTTGGGAAGAAGCTGCAGGGCAGATTTTCAAATCAGCTCATCTGATAGTCCAAGGTAGAATGCTTTTGAACATGGAGGTTCAAATGCACTAAAGCAGGATAGTGAACCGTCCTGAATTTGGAACTGTTGTGGAGTCAGAATTATTGGCTTCTTAGTTTCGGTTTAAGATTTTTTTCCCCCTGCTGGTGCAGATAGTCCGTGACGTACAACCAGTCCTCTCACAACACTCGCGGTGTCCCCTCGCTCGCACAACAGCCATTTGGACCTTCCTGGGGTTCTTCGGACAAGCAACGTTAATGGGGGGAGGGGGGGAGAAGCTGAATTCGCTTAATGACTGTGGCGAGGGGATTGTAAAATTGGGCGCGGTCATACGACGAATCCCCTTAATGACCGCATCGCTTAGCAGCGGAAATTCCTGCCCCAATTGTGTTGTGAGTTGAGGACTGCCAGTGTTTCCGTTTGGAGTGCAAAGATTTAACATATTTAGGAGTCAGCATGCAATTTAACTTAAGGCCCGTGCTCAAGGGCGCCAGGGGAGCCACAGCACCACCAGGGGGCGCCCAAGGACCTAATCAAAAAGAGGGTGAAATGGGTAATATTTAACTCAAGCCATCCGATAACCAGATTTTAGCAAATCTTTAGGTTCATTTTAAATATTATTGTTGGTGTTAACTATTTCAGGTAGTCCTCAACTTACAACTGTTCATTTACTGACCGTTCAAAGTTACAACGGCATTGAAAAAGTGACTTATGACCGTTTCTCACACTTACGACCCTTGCAGCCTCCTCAGGGTCAAGGGATCAAAATTTGGACGCTCGGCAACTAATTCATATTTATGACGGTTGCAGCGTCTCCCGGGGTCACGTGATCCCCTTTTGCGACCTCCTGACAAGCGAAGTCAACGGGGAAGCCGGATTCACTTAACGACTGGGTTACTACCGTAAATGCTGACGTATAAGGCGACCCGGCGTATAAGACGACCCCCGTCTATAGCTGGGCCGCATTCCTAGAACGTCGTCTTATATGCCGGAAACTACCAGTATTTCCGGCGTATAAGACGACCCCCGTCTTTGGCGCCGATTTCAGCGCTCGCGGAAGTCGCCTTATACGCCGGCATTTACGGTAAATTAACAGCTGCAGTGATTCCCTTAAGAACCAGGGCAAGAAAGGTTGTAAAATGGGGCAAAAGTCATTTAACTGTCTCGCTTAGCAACAGAAATTTTGGGCTCAAATTGACGTAAGTCGAGGATTCCCTCTATCGTTATCAACTCAAAATGTTTGCTGAGCTACAGCTTTGGGGATGTGGGCCCTGGAAATAATAGACTTTGGTTGAGCGTTCCCGCTCTGGATTGCAAACGTTTCTGGAAACCCCGGGTGGTCTTGTTTGATGCGCCTCTGCTCTCCTTGCCTCTTCGCAGGCCTTCCTGGAGCGCTACCTGAGCGCAGGCCCCACCATCCAGTACCACAAGGACCGCTGGCTGGCCAAGCAGTGGACTCTGGTCAGCGAGGAGCCCGTGACCGACGGGCTGAAGGACGGGGTGGTCTTCGTCCTGAAACGCCAGGATTTCAGCCTCGTGGTCAGCACCAAAAAGATCCCCTTTTTTAAGCTCTCGGAGCAGTTTGTGGACCCCAAATCGCACAAGTTTGTCATGCGGCTGCAGTCGGAGACCTCAGTGTGACCCACGGCGGCGCAGCTGAGGGGCTTGGAGGCCAGGGGAGGAGGTGCCCCGCCAGGACGGGGGGGGGGACAACGGCCTGGTGCCAGCCTGCATCTCTCCGGTTTGAGAGGGTCCCTGGGCTCGGTGGGAGACCCTCCAGGGCGTCTCTGGATGCCAGAGCTTCCCCCTCCTTCTCCCCCCTCCCCTTTATGACCCCAACTGAGGGGAAGGGCAGGGGCCTTCCTTCCTTCCTTCCTTCCTTCCTTCCTTCCTTCCTTCCTTCCTTCCTTCCTTCCTTCCTTCCTTCCTTCCTTCCTTCCTTCCTTCCTTCCTTTGTAGCAAAGCCCGCCCCAGGAACTGAGGAGGCGTGTGGGTGACAAGGACAGCATCACCCCTCCCTCCCTCCCTGAGGAATTGCTGGAAGTTACCTGTGCCAAATTCTAAGGGCTAACTCTGTTGGCGCTCTTCACCAGCACCTGCAAACATAGTTGGGCTATGGAACTTTTGTGAATGTCGTTTTCTACAAAACTACACGCCGGCACGTGCACACCCAGACCCAAGCCCAACGTCAACACAACGTCGTCGCTCAAGGCTGTTGTCGTCTCCCTGGGTCTCTGAGGTCCAACTGCACAAGGTTTGGGGGGATCCCCCAGGAAGATCTGGTGGTCCAAGGGGAGAGAGAGAGAGAACCAACCCCTGCCCTGGAGCCATCGATTCAGCCTCTCGAGGTCTTGAGCTGGAAGTTCAACAGGTCAATCACAAAACGTACTTAAAGGCTGGAAGGGGGAAGAGGGTGGGAGATTGTTTAAGACGAGGATGGCTTTTTTGTTAAAAGATCTCTGTGCTTTTTAGAGAAGTCCCGTGTGTTGTAAATACTTTTCCTCTGAGTCACTCGCTCTGTCATTGGTCTGTGGTTTGAGCAAGCTTTGGTGTGAGGTGGGGGTGGGGGTGGCACATGAGGGGTGAGGTGAGCAAGGTCCCCGCTTCCTGCGTTTGAGACAGCAGGACTTTTTTTTTCTTTTTCTTTTTTGCACTTTTGCATGTGCAGAAACTCGATCCGGCTGTTCTTTTTGGGAAGATTCCTGTGGGAAGATCTGCATTCTGACTTACCCGTCCCTAAATTTCAGAGCCCCCCCCCACCCAGCACAAAGCAGCTTGCAGAGGGTTTTCCTGTCCCACCCCCCAAGTTACTGATCAGCTGAGGACCAATCACTCACCAGTAGAGTGATGGCATCACTCTGAGGCCACTGTTCTCAATCTTAGCCATTTTTAAGATGGGTGGACTTCAACTCCCAGAATCCCCCAGCCAGCGACATGGCTGGCTGGGGAATTCTGGGAGTTGGTCCACCCATCTTAAAAGTGGCTAAGGTTGAGAAACACTACTTTAAGGTGACTTTGAGGTCCTAAAAAGACACTTTTTTTGCTGTTCGTTTTTCATGATTTTTTTTTTTTAATGTCACCATAATATCCCAGTTTTTATGTTGGGGTTTTGTTGACAGCTGTTTCTTTTTAATCTAATGTGGGTTTTTTGTTATTGTTTAAATGACTTTCTGAACAAAAATCTGGTAGAGGTTGCAAATAGGGTGTTCAGCTGGTGTTGGGGCTGCTGTTCCAGTTGGGGGTCTTGCATCGAAGGGGGGGGGGAGAGGCCTCCTGGTATATCACTGTGATTCGCCTTTTTAAAATAATTTTAATTCCTGGGAGAGGATCCAGCCACCGTAAGCAACCTATTGAAATTGCATTGGTGGTTTTGCCTTGAACAAATGGTCTTAAAGCCTTTATCTAAATCATGGCCTTGGCTTTGGAGGGTGATGCCTTTTAAAAACAAATCAGTGCTGACATTGGAGCTTGCGTTATATTTATATATTTATACGTTTTCTTCATTCCTCCCCTAACATTCCCTGAAGTGAGCGACTGATGGAGACTAGCCTGAGCTCCTTTGAGGAGAGCTTTCTGCTACAGATAGTCCTCGGCTTACTGCTGCTTAGTGACAGTTTGAAGTTACAGCGGCACTGAAAAAGTGGCTTATCTCCGGCTTGTACACAACCGTTGCAGCATCCCCATGATCCCATAAACAGAATGGGGCTCTCGGCAACTGGCATGTACTTATGTCAGTTACATTGTCCTGAGGTCACATGATCACCACCTGCCCAGCTGGCATCTGACAAACAAAATCAGTGGACCAAGCCAGATTTGCTTAATGACCACATGATTTACTGAACAACTGCGGTGGCTTAATAGCTGTGGCAAAAAATGTCGTAAAATGAGGCACAACCCACTTAACTGTCTTAACGATGGAAATTCTGGGCTCCACCAGCGATCCACTCTTGACTTTGGAGGGTGGTCTCTTGGTTTAGAGCTGTGCTGGCTGCGGAATTCTGGGAGTTGAAGTCCACAAGTCTTCCGAAGTCGCCAAGCTTGGGAATCCCCCCCCCCCAGTTTGGAGGAATTTTTGGGTGGCCGTTAGAGCAGTGGTTCTCAACCTTTTTAATGCCGCGACCCCCAACCGGTCGTAAGTCGAGGACTACTCGACTGGTGCAGCACCGTTTGCAGAATGGGACGTTTGGCGGGCTCAGCAGGGCAGAGACAGCCTGGACAATTCCTATTGGCTTTGGAAAGCCAATAGAATTAGACTCTATTCAAGAGAGTCTCTTCTATTGGCTTTCAAAAGCCAATAGAATAAAAGGGAGGAGCACAGCTAAGGAAAAGGGGGAAAAAATGGCGGACTGCGTTGTTTGGCGACCCCCGTGAAATGGTCGTTCGACCCCAAATGGGGTCCCAACCCACTGCATTAGAGGATACAGGTTGATAACAGAATAGGAGTTCCCCCAATCAGTTGCACTTGGGAAAATCCAAGCACAGGTAGTCCTTGACTTACAACCACAATTGGGAAAATTCGTCGTGAGGCATCACATGACCACGTCTGACTTTCATGACATTTCTTGCCATGGCCATTAATGGAATCGTCTTTGTTAAGGGAGGCGTCACACGACGGGCAAAATTGCGACCTTCCCTGCCGGCTTCCCCATCAACTTTGCTTGTCAGAAGCTGGGACGGTCACAACTGGGAATCACGTGACTTTAGGACTCTGCCACCCCTTGCACATGCAAATTGGTTGCCAAGAAGCGGGATTGTGACTCCCTCGGACACGGGACCCTGCAGTAGTGTTAAGTGCAAGGGCTGTCAGGCGGTCGTTCAGCAGCACCGTTGTAACTTGGAGTGGTCGCTAATGAGTGGTCATAATTCGAGGACTATAGAAACTTTCTAATCTTCATGGGGGGGCAGGGGGTCTTGTATTTGTTGCCCACCCTTGACCCTCTTAAATTTGAAAGCACATCCAGACCTAGTCTCTGAGAAGTAACTTCTTTGCTCCCTTTCCATGTGATTTTCAGAGTTGGAGAAAAGGGTTCAAGGGCCCATCCTCCCCTCTTAACGCTGGAAGCGTTAAGACAGAGACCACTTTTCTTCTCCCTAGCTCAAACACACATACGCACATGCACACCGAATTTAGGAAACCCATTTTCTGACATTTTCCCCCCAAAAAATAAAAGCAGAGAAACCTTGTGCATGCATGTAGAAAATTGTAAAATGTAAATTTTTTTAATATATAAAATTTTGTTTTTACCGTTTGCAGTGGTACTAAGCATTACAATAATGTTAGTCGAGGGTTTTTTTCATAAATAATAGGAAGTAAAATTGTACATTTTTTTCTAAAAAAAAATTAAATAAACATCTTTTGGAGCTTTGGGTATTTCTGTTCTGCCTGGCCTGGTGATGTTTTCAGGGAGGGAGGGAGGGGCCGGGGGCGCTTGTGGGGGCTGGTCCAGCTGGGGAATCGTCCCTGGTTTTTATTAGAATTGAGAGCATCCCTGGCCACAGAGGAGAGGCCCACCAAATTTGGACAACCATTTGTCTGGGATGGCATAGGGCAGGGGTAGGCCACCTTGGCTCTTTGATGACTGGTGGACTTCAACTCCCAGAATTCCTGAGCCAGCCATGCTGAGGGGAAAGGGAGAGGTTTCCAAGCTGAGCCCTGCTGGCTGAGGAATTCTGGGAGTTGAAGTTCATGAGTCATAAAACAGCCAAGGCCTGCCCCTGGCCTAGGCCTAGGCTGCTTTATGACTGGTGGACTTCAACTCCCAGAATTCCTGAGCCAGCCATGCTGAGGGGAAAGGGAGAGGTTTCCAAGCTGAGCCCTGCTGGCTGAGGAATTCTGGGAGTTGAAGTTCATGAGTCATAAAACAGCCAAGGCCTTGCCCCTGGCCTAGGCCTAGGCTGCTTTATGACTGGTGGACTTCAACTCCCAGAATTCCTGAGCCAGCCATGCTGAGGGGAAAGGGAGAGGTTTCCAAGCTGAGCCATGCTGGCTCAGGAATTCTGGGAGTTGAAGTCCACAAGTCATAAAAGAGCCAAGGTTGCCTACCTCTGGCCTAGGCCACTTTATGACTGGTGGACTTCAACTCCCAGAATTCCTGAGCCAGCCACGCTGAGGGGAAAGGGAGAGGTTTCCAAGCTGAGCCATGCTGGCTCAGGAATTCTGGGAGTTGAAGTCCACGAGTCATGAAGGGGCCATAGTTCCCCCATGCTGGCTCAGGAATTCTGGGAGTTGAAGTCCACGAGTCATCAAAGAGCCAAGGTTGCCTACCTCTGACATAGGGTCTCCTGCCTGAGTAGGGGGTTGGACTAGAAGACCTCCAAGGTCCCTTCCAACTTGGTTATTCTGTTAAATGGGTTTCTTTTGCCAAGAAGAGGGAGCCCAGGTGACAGGTCTGGTAAGACCTCACTGAATTGGGGCAAGGAAAAGTTCACCTCCTAAGTCATTGAGTCTGCTCTTGGTGGTCTTGGTCTTCTCCTCCTCCTCCTGCTGCCACTTCAGGTGTCGGGGGACATACAGAGTTCTGTTTCTTGCACATCTGCTCTTGGTGGAACTGGCGTTTTGAGTTCCCCTAGCACTGAGCTGGAGGACAGACGCAAGGACCTTGGATCCAGCTTTTTGTGGATTCTTCCCCCCCTTTAGAGGAGACTTCTCTCCAGAAACCCCCTTAAGAAACCGTAGTTGACCCTTCCTGCTTTCGGTCTAGTGTGGTGTTTCCCAACCTTGACAATCCCCTCTCGGATAGGGCCTATTTAACTAGCTAGTGTAAAATAAATGTAAAGTTTTATATATAAGAGCTGTGGACACAACAAAGGAGGAGAGAGGTATACAATTGGGAAGGGATATTAACCCACAGTTAGTGGAACCCTATTCCCATCATAAGACACAAGAAAACATCAGATCGAACCCTCCCCCTGATACGGCAGGCGTTGGTATTATCGGAAGAGGAGGGGATGCAAGGTTACTAATGCCTCCAAAGACCAATAGTGGAGGGATAGGGAAGGGCATCCGGAGAAAAGAACATAACGTTATAGACACATTTTGGTTATCAGCTGGCCAATCAGGGCCAGTAACACGGTCTAGGAGCCATGCGCAAACACTACTTAAACCTACTTAAACCACCTTTATTGTAATGGCCTTTTAGCCCTGACGATGCTGAGGAGTTCCCCCAGCGAAAGCTTGGCAACTTTTTAGTATAAGTGTATTTTTAGTAAAGTATTCTTACCCTCCCGGTGATCGTGTTTTATTCTTTTATTCATAATTATGCCTGGGAGTCGCATTTTTACCAATGTTCTTGAGTTATATATATATATATATATATATATATATATATATATATATATATATATATATATATATATATATAGGAGGAGACCATACATGTATTCAGAGGAAGGCCTAAAGAGCCAGGAGACCCACTCCTTCCAACCAGCGAGAAGAGCCTTTGGGGATGTTTGACTTAAGTCCCTCAGTGAAGAAAGGTCAGATAGAGGCTGGCTGCTCTGTAACATCTGGAGATCTTCTGGAATGGTGGAAATGCTTTTGCTATTTGACAGGATACTAGTAGGATGGTTGAGCTAGTGGCAGTCACAGGAGAGTTAAAAATATTCAGAAAGGTCAGAAGTATGAAAGATTGGGTCAAACAGCCAAACATACTGTCATGGTTCTGACAGATGAAACTCTTCAAAGAACTTTGAGACATTGTTTACCTTAAAGAATCTTTATTGGAGTAGCATAGCTTGGGCACTAACATAGTTGAAGCCAAAAACTGGATTCCCCTCCCCTGAGCACATTATTTATTTATTTATTTATGAGACTTATATACCGCTTTAAGTGCAAGCACTCTCTAAGCGGTGTACACCAGTAAGCAATGTATATATATATTTACATTGCCCCCAACAATCTGGGTCCTCATTTTACCTACCCCGGAAGGATGGAAGGCTGAGTCAACCTTGAGCCGGTGAGATTTGAACTGCTGACCTGCTGAATACAGTCAGTTAAAGTGGCCTGCAGTACTGCACCCTAACTGCTGCGCCACCTCGGCTCATCACATAGTATCAAGCACAATTCCCTCCTCCAATTAACTGTCCTAAATCACATTCTCCAATTAGTTTGAAATGCAGGCTCTCCCTCCTGTTCTCCAACCTGCCAGTTCTTGTCATCTCTTATTTCGAGCTCTGAATTCACACACTAGTACAACATTGTTGCATCCAACTAACTCCCATCACATTCCTCCTCCTGCCCCAGCATCATCTAATTCTAAGAGTAAAGCATAAGAAAGAAAAAGGCTGCATCTTCATATGTTGTCAAAGCAAGAACATCCAATGTTAGCAGCCTTGACACATACATTAACTTAAATCACCGGCACCACAGATTATATAAAAAGACTTTCAACTGGTATTAACTTGGTGGTTCATTCATAAAAAAGTCTTGAAATTAAAAAAGCAAAGCACATATATCTTCAAGAAACCCATTAAAAACGACACTGTTAATCTAGGATGCAAATGATTTGGTCAAAAACACAAGGCCTTGGGCAGGCAGGAACGTATTTGGAATGGAACAGCCCTATCCGTAGCTCAGAAATGTATCTTGAACCTTCTAGGAAAATTGCTAGAGGAAGTTGGAACATTTATAATATTATGAGTCCTGAAGGAAGGAAAATGGCAACAGTTTCAATTCAGTTTCTGAATGATCAAGCGACGTTTTGCAAAGATTTTTTTTTCCAATGGCGTCTTGGACATTGTAGAGCAGTGATTCTCAACCTTTTTAATGCTGCGACCCCCAACCGGTCGTAAGTCGAGGACTACTCAACTGGTCGTAAGTCGAGAACTACTCAACTGGTGCAGCACCATTTGCAGAAGGGGACTTTTGGCGGGCTCAGCAGGGCAGAGACAGCCTGGACAATTCCTATTGGCTTTTGAAAGCCAATAGAATTAGATTCTGTTCAAGAGAGTCTATTCTATTGGCTTTCAAAAGCCAATAGAATAAAAAGGAGGAGCACAGCTAAGGAAAAGGGGGAAAAAATGGTGGACTGCGTTGTTTGGCGACCCCCGTGAAATGGTCGTTCGACCCCAAATGGGGTCCCGACCCACAGGTTGAGAACCACTGTTGTAGAGAGAGGTGTGAATGGGGTTTCCCCTCCGAAGTTACCACAGCAAACTTCCCAAAAAATATTCAAGATTGCCTGTCACTATTTTCCTTCTCAGAGATACGGAGACATAAAGGTCCTTCTTCAAAGGAACGTTGTTGTAGTTAGGCATCCTGGATTTGCAGTTCACAGTTAACTAAATTTAGAGATGTGAAAGTCGCACCTCTTGCTTGGAAGGGATCATAATCCCGTAAGTGTTAAGATTACACCAAAGGATCGTTTAAACCTGGAGGGCGAAGACTTAATGGCTTACTTTCGCTCAAGAGGAGGTTAAACTGAAGGATTAACACAATTCAAAGAACATCTAAACCAATTTAACTCCTGGCGTTTCTTTATTTACAATAAGGGATTCATTACAGGATCAATAGCTGGATCATCGGCTATGACAGGAACAAGAAAAAAATTGCTACTTCTGTTTGGGATGGCAAATCGCAAGTTTTACAAAGGAGGAAATAATAGATTAAATATTACTCCAGATTATATAACAAATTGATATTAAACTTGGAGCAATAGACGGGCTTATCTAGCTCAGGGTTGAACAGATGCGTCCTTGATGCTCTCTGGTGGTTTTCCTGCAGATGTTTCAGGACCCAACTAGGTAACATCGTCAATGCCAGAAGGAAGTGGGGTGTGCAGAGGAGGAGGACGACAACTCTGGGGTGCTTGATACTTTTTGAGCTTAGTTGTTTTGTTACAGACATTTTATTATCCAACTAGGTAACATAATCAGTGCTAACTGAAGCGTAATCATTGAAATTCCTCAACATGGATCCCAACATTCAAACATTTGAGGCTGGTGATGTTACCAGGTTAGGTAATGAAATGTCTGCAAGAGAACAACCGAGCTCACAGAGAACCGAGGACCCCCAAACTTGGAACAGGTTGACAAGTATCTATATACAGTATGAGCCTCCCCTCCCCAGGTGTGTCTGCCATTGATCCCAGGTGAGCTTCGTTTCCCCCCCCCCGCCCCTTTGACCCATCTCTTCCCCCAGCAGTGGACGTTTTCTTGGCAGCTCCTAGTCAGAATTTGTCTGCTCCTAATTGAGGGAGCCCCTGCAGACCAGGAGTTGGTTTTTACCCCCTGGTGGGGTTTCCACAAGAGGCCGAGAAGTTGCATTTGGCCCCTGAAAGACGGGCATCGTTTGCTTGGCAAGCAGACTGGCAGTTGGTCACAAGGGTGGGAATTTGGGGAAAAGACGTATCATGAGATACTACTCACATTTTGAGGATCCCGTGGGGATCTTCGGCTTCTCCAGAGAAAGAAGAAGAGATGTGCCACTTCATGCCCTTCTCCATAAGGATCGTGCAAGTTTCTGGAAGCCAGGGGTTAGCGAGGGCAGACCTCTTTCTCGTTCCCCCCATATTGTAATGTTGAAATATTATACAGTAGTTCATTTTATAATAGTTGCAAATCTACATTCTCTGTTTTGTCCCCCCCCCATTTTGCAATTATTCATTCCATTTTGTAGCCTCTCTCTTGCCGAGTCTGACTCATCCAGACCATGACAATCTTCAGAGACCCAGTCAGAGTTTCCACTGTGACCACCATTCAAACCAGGATAGGCGCAGATAAGTGGGTATCACCTACAGACTGATGATACAGCATCCTGAATTGGTGGATGACTCCTTCCAGTAGTTTCACACAGATGTTCAGTATGATAGGGAGAGGAATAAGACCTCAGACACCCAGAAAGGCAATCCTCATTTGACCTCCCACTCAAAGAACAGAGGTCTTCTAGTCCAGCCCTCTGCCCAGGCAGGACATCCTACACCATTCTGAACAAACGGTTTTCCAGTTTATTTTTGAAAACCTCCAGTGATGGAGCACCCACAACCTCTGGAGGGAATCCCTTCCACTGGTTAACTGTTCTCACTGTCAGGAAGTTTCTCCTTAGTTCCAGGTTGCTTCTCTCCTTGATTAGTTTCCATCCGTTGCTTCTTCTCCTGCCTTCTGGTGTTTTGGAGAATAGGTCGAACCTCCTCTTCCTTGGGGCGGCCCCTCAAATACTGGAACACTGCTATCATGTCACCCCTAATCCTTCTCGTTAGAAGAGACATTCCTAGTTCACTCAGTTGTTCATTGTATGGTTTAACCTCCAGAACTTTATCATCTTTATTGCTCTTCTCTGCACTCTTTCTAGGGTCTCAGCATCTTTTTTCTACTGTGTTGATCAGAACTGGATACAGCATTCTAAGTGTGGTCTCTTCCACTTCCAATTTTTGGAGGTGGTCCAGAAAGAGAGTCTTGTCAAAAGTGTCAAAACTTATGGTCCTGCTCCTATGGTGCTGGTTTTGCCACCAGGGAAGTTGGAGATGCCAGTCTTGGAAGCCAGGGGCTGCCGTGTGTGTGTGTGTGTGTGTGTATGTGTGTGTGTGTGTGTGTGTGTGTGTGTGTGTGTGTGTGATTCCAGAGCTTCTCACCTGGGGTGGCCAGCCCTCTTTCCCACCACAAATTCCTTAAAATGGGGAGAAGGCAGTGACCCAGAATCTGAAGCAAAAATCATGCTTGAGTTGGAAGTTGCTTCCGTGTATCGGAGGCGTTTTCCTGGTTGCTGATGGTCGATTCTGCTCCTGCAGTGGACGTGTTGTCCTGAGAGAAAGGTTTAATGCCCTGCAAGGAAGAGCAAAACCCCTTTTATTTGTCCAAATTAATATTGTAGCTCTAAAGCAGTTATTTTTTCAACCTTGATCACTTTAAGATTTGTGGACTTCAACTCCCAGAATCCCCCAGCTAGGCTGGGAAATTCTGGGAGTTGAAGTCCATAAGTCTTAAAAGTTGCCAAGGTTTCACACCCTTGTTCTAAAGCCTCAAGTAGTTATTAGGGGCCTTTCGGAGGGAAAGAGTCAAATTATAGCAGTCCAATTTAAAGCCAAAGGCAAAATGCGTGGGTTTTATCCACTCTCTTCTCGAAATGCTGCTAAAATAGCAAAAGGGAGGCAGAATTTGACCCTGCTAATATTCTTGCACTTGCAATAAATAAAGTTAGTCACCATGATAATGAGATCTTTGGGGAAAGCTACTGGAGGGACTAGAAGAAAGAAAACCAGAAACGAGACTATAAGAGAAAGAATTGGCACAGAACCAATCTTAAACTACACACAACAACAGCAAATCGAATGATTTGCTCCTCTGGAGAGGATAGACCCTACCAGGCATATGCAAAAAGAGGAGCGGGTCATAGAACACGAGGCAGGCCCAGAAGAAGATGGGGAGACAGCCCCAGAGACACAATACAACAGCATCAGGTAACAATGGTTAAGGGTGCCAGAAGAGCAAGAAACAGAACTTTGTGAAGGAGGGGGAGCAGGAGGAACAGTGAGAAGGGGGGAGGAGGAGGAGGAGGAAGGGAGAAGAAGGAGAAGAGAAGAAGATGGAGAAGGAGGAGCGGAAGGAGGAAGAGAAGAGGGAAAGGAGGAGGAGGAGGAGAAGAGGGAGGAAGAGGAGGGAGAAGAAGAAGGAGGAAGAGAAGGAGAAGAGGAAGAAGGGAGAAGGAGGGAGGAGGAGGAGGAGAGGAAGAAGAGAAGAGATGGAAGAAGGAAGAAAAGAGGGAAGAGGGAGAAGGAGAAGAGAAAGGAGAGGAAGAGAGAAGGAGGGAGAAGGAGGAGAAGAGAGGAAGAAGGGAGAAGAAGGAGGAGAGGAAAGAAGAGAAGGGAGAAGGAGGAAGAGAAGGAGAAAGGAGACAAGGGAGAAGAAGGAGGAGAGGGGAGAAGGGAGAAGGAGGAAGAGAAGGAGAAAGGAGAGGGGAAAAGAAGAAGGAGAGGAAGAAGAGAAGAGGGAGAAGAAAGAAAGGAGAAGAGAAGGTGAAGAATTAGTAGAATTATTCTTGCAGCTCCTGACTCCTGGTGGCAGCAGACATTTAGGAAAGGCTCACCCCGGTCAAGGTGAGCAGTTGAGGGACTCCTGTCCATCCCTCTGGCGAGAAGCCATTTCTCCTAGGAAGAGGAGCCATCTTTACAGGTGGTCCTCGACATAGGACCACAGTTGAGCCTGCTTATTAAGGTTGCATGTCATGATGGCCAAAAAATGACTCAGTCACGTGATCAGCCAGTTTTTACCACTTTTTTGTGGTGGTTGTTAAGCAAATACAATGCTTGTAAAGCAATCACAGTGGTTGTTAAGCGAACCAGTGATTCACTATGGTTTTGTTAAAGTGCCACTTTTGGGAAAAAACATCATAAAACGTGATCACGTGACCGCAGGATGCTGCAAACAGCCTTAAATGTGACCGCGTTACGGAGCGGGTGAACTTCGGCCAGGTGATTGTGGAGAGGGCCCGACTGTCGGAAATGGGTTGTAACCAGCCCCAAGGTAGGTCTGTTGCAACCCGAATGGTCTGTTAAGCAACTGGTTGTAAGTCGAGGACTCTTTCTATTTCTCACGCCATGCAGAAGACCAGGCAAAGGTGGGAGCGGGAATGGGGCTCCCGTTCCCCTCCCCACAAGGCATAACCGATTACCTCAGGAAGGAAGCTGACCTCTGCCATCTGTTCCACCGAAGGAGGCACCTCATTGTCGGAGTCTGAAATGAGAATTCGCTCTGTTCATGCTCAGGATGGGGAATGGGTGCTCCACCTCCAGACCTGTTAGAACTACAACACCCAGCATCCCCCACCATTGAATGTGCTATCTGGGGCTGCTGGGAGTTGAAAGTTGGCAAGGTTGGGTTCCTCTCCCCCCCCCGCTCTAATTTACAACCCTGATGTAGGAGATGACCAGGCTGAGTCCAAGGGAGGGAGGGAAGGGCCAAGTGGGTCATCAGCCATGAGTCCCTTCGCACCCACAAGAGAGCTAAGTCCAGCCCACCTCGAGTTCTGTTGACTCTTACCTGCCGCCATTTTGCTTTGACCGTTAGTTGGCCAGATTCTTATAGAGAGCATGAGCTTGCAGTCAATGTTTATGTTCATTTGAACTGCATGGACTTCCTGATTTATTGAGCATGACACCCTGTTTACTGCTACATGAAAGTACAAACCCCCAATTCACAGGACCCCAGAGCGGGCACTCAAGAAATGTGAATGTGGCCCGGCTGTGGCTCTTGATGAGGGCTACGGTTACAAAGAGGATGTACCTGAAGATTCATTGATGGACTCCATGCTGCTGTGGATTTCTGTCAGATGGGAAAGAAAAGAGACATGAATTCTTTGGAGGATCTGCTGCTTGCGTGCATGATGGCCTGCTGCAGGCGTTATGCGGGGTACCCCACCCCCTGCCCTGCATCTTGCCCATGGGCAGGACTGGTGGTTGATTCGTTGGCTAGTCCTGCCAGCCTTGGATTGGGGTGTGAGGGTTGTGAAACGTCAGTCAAGATCCTTCCCAGAGATCTGAAGTCATGGAGAATTAATCTGCCAGCAAGTAAACTTTGATCAAGCTACTATCTCTTCAGTGGTAGCCCAGGGAGTCCTCACTTAAGGACCAGAACTGGGTCCAGCTACTTGGTCATTAAGTGAAATTGTTGGCAAGTGAAACCACAATTGTACTTACAATCTGACTTCAGCTTTTCTTTGCTTTACAGACTGCAAAGATTGTCAGAGTAATAACTGGTTGCAAAGTTACTTTTTCATCATAATTGTAACTTTATGAGGCAGTCACTAATCTGTAGTAATCTGGCAGGAGGCTCCAAGTAGGACATAAAAGGGACTGAGACATAACCTGTTGGCCACCTGCTTGCTAAGTTTCCATTTTAAGGCAGGGGGTTGGACTAGATGACCTACAAAGTCCCTTCCAACTCTTGTTATTCTATTCTATTCTATTCTATTCTATTCTATTCTATTCTATTCTATTCTATTCTATTCTCCAGGACTTGTTTAGGTGCCAGTACTGGAGGTTTCAGTCACACAGTCTGGTTACTGAATTAATCCATAGTCTGCTTGCACTAAATTATAAACTGGCTGGATGGGCTGAGCTGGAATTCCTGCTGAGGCAGCCTCCCCTAATCAAATTGTCATGTTGCACAACATTCACTTGGTTATGCACGCAGGACATTTTTTTTGGCAGAGGTGAGATTTTATTCCAAGCCACTGTCATTCCTGGTCAAATCTACACTGTGGTTTTTTTAGCCTTACAGAATCCAGAATAACAGAGTTGGGAGGGACTCAGAGGTCTTCTAGCCCAACCCCCTGCTCAAGCAGGAGCCCCTATGCTGTTTCAGACAAATGACTGTGCAGTCTCTTTTGGAAGACCACAACTGCTGGAGGGAAGCCATTCCACTGATCGATTGCTCTCACTGTCAGGAAATTTCTCTCTAATTCTAGTTTGGATCTCTCTCTCTCTCTGTCCAAATGCACCCTTCTCCAGTAAATGGGAGGGGTGGAGGTGGAGAGGATTTGCCCTGCTGCTGAGGGTACTTTGCTTGATCAAGAGCCCCTGGGGTCAGAGAGCATCCCTTCTGCTAAGGCAATCCGCCTCAGATTTAGGGAAGGAGAGCAGTTGCAGGTAATTTTGGCTCGGCTTTGCCCAGCCCTTCTGGCCTAAAGCCCCTCTCGCCGAAGGACTTTGCAAGATTGTCTGCCCTCAAACAGGTGCAGGTGCCCAGCAGTGGTCAATGTGGCTCTCCTCTTTTCTCTTTAAGTTGTATGGATTTCAGGCAAATGAGCTAGTGCCTGCACAAGGGGGTTCCCGGAGATTCAGTGGAAAAAGATGTATTTCTCAAAAGATAAGCCTCAGATGTGGCTGCAGCAGGGAGGATGTTGTTAACCAAGGCAAATTTAGAGCAGTGTTTTTTTACACTTGCAAACTTTAAGATGGGTGAATTCTGAGAGCTGAAGTCTGCACACCTTATGCAACAGGCATCCAACTTGAAGATTTGTGGGCTTCGATTCCCAGAATTCCCCAGACAGCATAACTGGGAGTTGAAGTCCACAAGTCTTCAAGTTTCCAAGGCTGGACACCCCAATCTTGAAGCATGCTGGCTGAGGAATTCTGGGAGTTGAAAACAACCCATCTTCAAGTCATCAAGTTTGAAAACACTGATTTAGAAGAAAGGAAGACAGCGTTTCTAAAACCTGGGATGAAATCCAGGGAACAAAGGAATAACACAATTGGAAGGGACCTTGGAGGTCTTCTAGTCCAGCCCCCTGCCCAAGTAGGAGACCTTATAACGTTCTGAACAAATGGCTGTCCAATCTCTTCTGGAAAACCTTCAGGGATAAAGCACCCACCATTTCTGGAGAAAAACCATTCCACTGGTTATTTCTCCTCACTGTCAGGAAATTTCTCCTTAGTTCTAGGTTGCTTCTCTCCCTGATTAGTTTCTACCCGTTGCTTCTCGTCCGGCCTTCAGGCACTTTGGAGAATAGCTTGACCCCCCTTCTTCTTTGGGGCAGCCCCTCAAATATTGGAAGACTCCTGTCATGTCACCCCCTAGCCCTTCTTTTCTCTAGACACATCCAACTCCTACAACCATTTATCATGTGTTTTAATAATTATTATTCATTGGTTTTGCAAATAAATGTTTCTGCTTAAAGAACGAAAAGTGAATTCTCACCTCTTCCTCTTTTTCGTCTGTACATTAAGAAGAGGACCAGCAAGATCACAAGAACAATCAAAAGCGGGACGATATATTTAGCATAAAAAGATGCCGAGAGGTATTTGCTGGGGATAGACGGATCTATAGGAACCCAAAATAAAAGCAAAGTCAATTAGATCCTTCCCCGAACCCTATTTTTTTCTAGCAAAATTGCAGAGTGATTTAAGCATTTTTATGATTTATAGCAAGTCTCCCCAAAAATGACCCACCAGACTGGTAACCCCAACCCAAATGATGGGCACCAGGTTGGGGAAGGTTGGGGTACGGATTTAACTCTCATCAACCCCGATCAGTACACCCAATGGGGGGGAGCTGCCAGCCCAAAATACATAACTCTGGTATTATGGTGTATTTAATCATAGAATAATGGATTGGAACGGTCTCGGTAGATCATCTAGTGTAGCCCAGGGACTCACTCCTACAGTAGGCAAGGATGCTCTTGAGATTCATCTCTGGTGACCATGCGCAACACGCTGGCAATTGTCTTCAACTTCCTGAGAGTACAAAAGCCATCATCAGCCAGAGGAACAGGCTGCCACTGGGAGTGGTGAGGTTTTTCAACACAGGCTGGATGGTCGTTGGTCACAAAATCCTTGTCAGTCCTGCACTGGAGAGGAGTTGGATTGACAGAGGAGAATATTTGTAGCTCAGGGATGAAATAAGGGGTCCTTGGTGCTCTCTGAGCTTGGTTGTTTTCTCGCAGACGTTTCATTACCCAAACTAGGTAACATCATCAGTGCATGGTGGCTTCTAAATTCCCTCCAATTCCATGATAAGATTGACAAGAAGTTGCGCCATCAACATTAGCCCAAACTCTGCGTCTGGAAATTGAAGAGCCTGCTCTTCTTAACTGTAGCATTAACCTTTGTTAAATATTCCGTGTTATCTACCAGTTAGACTCAAATTCAAACTCTGGACATTCCGCTCTGCTACCTGAGGTTATACATTTTCCTGGGTGAGTCATACCCAATGAATTTTCTTCCTGTGCTCTCCTGCGCCAGGGCCCCCCAGGACTGCAAACACCTTTTGCCACCCTCTGGTTAGACAAGGAAGATGGCTGTGCCTTAAAGGCCACCCTGGATGCCTGCCAGGTGCTCCGTGTCTCCCGCTTTTGTTACAAACACGATTTTAATTAAAGAGAAATAGAAACAGAGAAAAAACTGTAGATCCCTTGGTGCTCTCTGAGCTTGGTTGTTTTCTTGCAGCCATTTCATTACTAAACTAGGTAACATCATCGGTGTTGGTGAGTGTGGGGTTTTCTCCCTATTTATATATAGTATTTTGCTCTGCCAGTAGTGGGGTGTGGTTTTCTCCTTGGTAGTTCCTTAATTAGGTTATTGTTTTTCTGTTTGATTGTTTGTCTGGTGTTAATCCCTGCTTACCTGGGTGTTGGTTACTGGAAAGGATATGTTCTGATCTTTATGGTTCCTTCTTAGTTTTATTAATTGTCTTTTTGCAACGGCATGTAAATGTAGTTTATCCCTATGGGTCTGTTGATGACTGATTTGTCAGAGGCTAGACTTCTAGGAATCCCTTATTTTTTGGTTTAAGATAATTTCCCAGTTGAAATTATGGTTGAGATTCTTCATCTGTTGTGAGATTAAAGAGTTTTCATTGTGTCTTTTGGCTGCTAATAAGCATTCATAGATGTGCTCTGCTAGTCTTCCATCTGTTTGTCCTACATAGTGGCTGTTACAGTCCTTTCACTGTAGACTGTGGATGATTTTGCTTTTATTGCTTGGGCTGTTGGGTGTTTTGGTTTACTTAAGGTGCTGTGGAGGGCTTTAGTTGGTTTCTGTTGGCAGTTTTATCTGCAGAGTTCTTTGAAGACGAACAAGGATGAATAAGGATGATCTAGGAGCGTCATTTTGGGTACTGAGATCAGCGATATATAAATGTAATAAATAAATATTTATAAATATCATAACTATAATCATAACTATAAATATAATTTATAAATATCATAAATCTCCATCTTCTTCTAAATGGATTTTTTGACTGGCACAGCTACTGCAGCAGCCATGTTGTGTGTGTGCCAGCCTTTGTCTTCACAACTTCAAATGTACCCACTGGACGACCCCCAAACGTTGCTGTACCCCTGGGTGAAGCCCTCTGGTGCTGTCAGAATCCAATTATATTTCATCTCTAGTTATCAATTATAAAAAAACCCATTTCTGCCTTCTAGGGATTCTGCCATACAATGAAGGGAAGGGGGTGAACAAAGGGGCTTTATGGCTCTCACTTCCTTCAGTACACTTCAAAGGGACTGGATATGTGTATTGCCAAAAGAGCTAACCATAACAATGGGGCTATTACCTTTCATGTAGTTCTCTCTGAAGTCTCCATCCAGTCGGCAGTAAGGAAAAGGGGGTGGGAGCGTAATGCCTGAGACTGTCGCTGGAAGAATGGGGTGATTGGGTGGGGCTACTGGGGAACCCCTTAAAACCTTGAATGGGAGAACTTGGACTCCAAGTCCTGTCTAGAACGCCTGCAACCATTTTCTCTTAATAAAGGATGCCTGTTGGAAGAATTATTCCAAGAGTTCTGTCTTCTTAAGATGCAAAGTGGGGTGGGTCCTTACAGGTGCATTAACATCACCCGCTTTTGTAGCAGAATCTGCACTCACCCTGGCAATGCTCCTTCAGCGAAATCACACTGGAACTTTCACCCGCCTGGTTGCGAACAGTGCAGATATAGTCTGGGACGCCCTGCTGAGGCTTCTGGGAGATCTGCAATGTCTGCGCCGTGGAGAGAACCTCGCTGCCATTGACCTGGAGCCAGGTGAAATTCAGGTGGCCTGCTTCTTCTTCTGCCCCAGCACAGCTCAGGAGGACCTGGCAGGTCCCGTTCTGGGCCTGGACGATGATGGTGGGGGCCGCCAGCCTCCCTGAAGGAGCCAGGAAGGGGGAGAATCAGTCGCTGTGATGTGGGGACAACGTTTGGGGGAGAAAGGAGGCCTCCATTTTAAAACTATAAACTTTTCTTTGAAAATATTTCCAAAATCAATAAATTCTAATACATCTTCTTTTTTTTTTACTTCCTTTTGACATTCGGCATCTGGATTTTGTGCTTCTGATGGAAAATAATGAAACTTTGATTTTGACTTGGCTGATTAGATAAGCTTATTGTTATAGAAATGGTTCTCAACTTGCTACAGTTCATTTAGTGACCATTTGAAGTTACAACGCCACTGAAAAAAGTGACTTATGACCGTTTTTCACACTTAGGACCCCTGCGGCATTCCCCCCATGGTCACGTGATCAAAATCCGGATGCTTGGCCACTGGTTCGTATTTATGAGGTCGCAGCGTCCCGGGGCCACGTGATCCCCTTCTGCGACCTTCTGACAGCAAAGTCAGTGGGGAAGCCGGATTCACATAACAACTGTGTTACTGCCCTAACCGTGATTCATTTAAAAACTGTGGCAAGAAAGGTCATAAAATGGGGCAAAACTCGCTTAGCAACAGTCTCGCTTAGCAACAGAAGCTTTGAGCTGAATTATGGTTGTAAGTTGAGGACCACCTCTATTATTGCATAAAAGGGACAAGTTGGGGTGGAAATGTTACCATCTTCGGTTGTGCTAAAAGGAGTCGGAAGTCAATGCCTTTTTTTTTTCTTTTTCCCCTTCTACCCCGCACTTTCTCCTCTTCCCTTTTCCCTCCCCTAGATTCCAATTATTTTCATTTTCTTTGTATTTTATATTCTGATAAACTAATAAAATTTCAATCATGGAGACCGGGGTTGGACTAGATCAGTGGTTCTTAACCTTTTTGAACGAATCGCCCCCTTGAGCCAATGAGGAAGTTGTCATCGCCCCCCTCCCCCAACATCACCTCTCAATCACGACATAGGAAAGAATTCTTCAATTTACTCAATTTTTTTTTGTTTTCTTTAAAATTATTCATCAGGACATATCGATGCAAATAATTTATTTCCAGTCTTTTTCCCATATCTCCCATATTCTGGCTAATGGTGCCCCACTATATGGGTAGAGGCTGCAGCGCAACGCGCATGAAGATAAGCGATGCATCTTCACATATGTACGGCGTTCTGTACTGAAGCTAGCTGGAGGAACATTTGAAAACACAATTCAATCCACTAAGAGCGAGCGATCTGATGTTTTTGTATGACAAATATACAGCGATTCACTGTACGAAAAAGTCTCAAAAGTGTCCCCAAAACTTCTTGCTCCATCGCCCCCATATCGCCCCCTTTTTGTTACTTTGCCCCCGCGTTGCCCCTTTTAGTTCCATCACCCCCCCTGAAAAATGAAATCGCCCCCTGGGGGGCAATATCGTCCAAGTTAAGAACCACTGGACTAGAAGACCTTCAAGGTCCCTTCCAACTCTTGTTATTCTTTGGTTATAGCTGTGCACCCTCAGGGAAACCGGATGGCAGCCTTGAAGAAGGCAAGGCTCTGGGATTTGTATTCCTTCCCCCCTCCTTTGGAAGCTTACTGGCTTTGTAGTCAGGGCTGCTTTGCCCGGTCAGGAGAGGGCCGCTTGTGCTGACCACCCAGGCTGATCTCCAAGGGGCGCTTGTCTCATTCTCTGGCATCGTCTTGTTGCTTCTGCTGAGCCCGTCTCGAAATTCTTGCTGAGACCCCTTGGAGTCTTTGGAGTCATGATCCACCCCTTGGAGGGCTGGAAAAATTAAAAAAAAATGACATTGCAAGGTATCACTGCAAGGTCTTCAGCAAATAGAACATCTCCCCTATACTTTAAATAAGTCTATTTTCAATCTTTTTTTCAGAGGTCTTGGTGGTGTTCCAAGGCTGTAAATGTGATCCTGCTGAAATTGTACACATTCAGATGAACCAGGCTGCTAAAACAGGCTGCTATTTAGCCAACATCTGATAAATCAGTCAGAACTGAATGTGCAGCCAACCCTGGCTGATAAACCATGTCATCTGTTCCTAACCAGGATCTGCTACATGCCCCGAATGTTGCATGCTTTCAACAGATGCTGCTCCCTCCTCCATCTCAAGGTAGGGTATTTTTCTCCCAAGTACCACAATTAATAATAAAACAGAATACTGAATTAAATTAAATTAAAAATTAAATTAAATTAAATTAAATTAAATTATTAGGGAGACGACCTTGCAGGTGCGAGGCAAAATACCCATAAAAATACTGATGCCCCCAGTCTTGTTTATCTCCAGGAGGGACCCCTCCTCTGCAACCAGACCTTGCCGAGGCCAGGGGATGGAGGTGCTGGGCCTCTCCGGATTGATGCTGCAATTCCCACACCCTGTGGGAATGTGACACACAAACAGGGCCACTTCAGGATTGTGAAAAAATGCCACCCTACCATTCTGAAGAGGATAGGGCCTGTGTAGTTTGAGTGCGTGGCGTTTGGAACTCAGAATGCAGCCTCCGATTATTACAGGTGATTACAGATAGACCTCGATTTATGACTATGATTGAACCTGGAATTATAGTCATAAATCATGCCAGTTATTAACAGAGTCACCACTTGACTGCACCAGATTTTACAATCTTTTTTGCGATCAGGCCATTAAGTGGATCATTTTAGCCAATGTTTTTTGTTGGAAATCAGAAGTAAACACTAGTTGCCAGCGGAAAAACAAAAAAACATCGTAAATGGGCTGTGCTGTGTTCAGACAACTCATTAATCTCAGTTAACAAACTGACCCATTTTCTGAGCTTTCAATCCTTTGAACCATAATCTAAGTAAACAGGATTTGCACACCTGGCTTGACTCCCCCCAAAAGGGCAGAAACCACCTTTCATTTTAACCAAACTTAGCATGTGATGGAAATGAAGCTGCTGGCTCTTTAACACAAATGAAGCCTGTTGCATGCATTCAGCTCTTAAATTTCTTTGCTGGGTCTTTCTCTGCTTTTCTCATTTTTTTAAGCTCTTTTGTGAGCTGATTCAAACAGGGAAATTTGGGGGGAACGAACGAAAGAGTGGGCGTGGTTAGTTCAGTTTTTAATTCTCTCTGTTTCAAACTGCTCACAAGAACTTCTTCAGAACTTGCTCCACCTATGAAGCTCAACTTCATTTTTGGAAAATGGCTCATCGTCCTGTCACAATCTGTGCTTTCCCAGGGTTTTTCTTTTGGTTTTGCGTCTGCAGCTGTGGGCTGGGGACAGGAATCCCCCGTCCCCCCCAGGCCCCTTTCTGTCTCAGGGTTCCTCCTGGCCAGAGGAAGTGAAGCCGAGAAGAGTCCCAACTCTCCTGCTGCCGACCTCGCCCAACGTGTTTGTCCTGTTCCTTCCTCTGCCGAAACGTGGCTCTTCCCTACCCCAAAATCTTCCTGACTCGAGAACTCACCTGCGAGAGGAAAGAAGGCCATGATCCAAAGCTGCCACATGCTTTCTCTGGTTTTTTTTTCGTGACCAGTGGCTCAGGTGGGACAGAAGGAACCAAGAGAGTTCCTCTTTCAGGGTGGCTTTGCTTCCTCTTCGCAGGAGGAAGTCGAGAAGATCTGAAGAAATCTCAGGATGATTAAGACGAAGTTGTACGTGCCTCTTCTTGCTCTTTTCTGTTTAAGAGTCGGCTCAGGCGCCTGGCCACGTCCAGGCTGAGCTTCCATCGCTGAACCTGGGACCTCCTCCTTGGACTGTCCTGAGCGCCTCCTCAGCCCACCCGACTGGTCCTCTTTCCAAGGAGGCCACTCAGGTTCTCCCCATCCTCTAAACCAGGGGTCTCCAACCTTGGACTTCAACTCCCAGAATTCCTCAGCCAGCCATGCTGAGTTGAAGTTGAATTCTGGGTATTGAAGTCCACAAGTCATAAAGTTGTCAAGGTTGGAGACCCCTGTTCTAAACCACCTCATGTTTTCTGCTGAAAATCCCTTCCCTGCTGTCAGCTGCTTTGTGGAGAAGAACATGGAGGTCCAAAGTCCACAACGTGGGACCCCTCACCTCCTCCTCCTCCTCCCCCTGCAGCCTGCTGCCCTCAGGGGAAGGAGGAACATGAGAGAGGAAAGGGAACACACATGCAAATACAGAGGAAGGGAAAGCTGTGCAGATAGGTGAGTGGCTTTCTATCTTTGGATGGAGGCAGCTGGATAACAAGAGAAGCTGATCCACTTGGTAAAGCCTGTCAGACACCCAGCTCACATTCCCCCCCCCCCCCGGCCGGCCACAAACAGCAGATTTGGGCACCAAGAGCCAAAAACTGACTCCCTGCAACTCAGGGGATGGTTTTGGAACAGGTTTTCGCAAACTCAGCAAATTTTAAATGGGTGGACTTCAATTCCCAGAATTCCCCAGCCAGTATGCTTAACCCTAACCCAGTGGTGGGATTCAGCCAGTTTGCACCACTTTGGCAGAACTGGTAGCTACTTTTTTGTTGCCTAAGCCCAGAATGGACTTCCAGAAGCGGCATCCACACAGAGAACCAGTTGTTCACATATTTGAATGCCACCACTGCCCTAACCCCAACTAACAGAGCTGGAAGGGACCTTGGAGGTCTTCTAGTCCAGCCCCCCCCCACTCAAGCAGGAGAACCTACAGTATACCATTTCAGATAAGCGACTGTCTAGTCTCTTCTTAAAAACCTCCTGTTAGGAAGTTTCTCCTTAATTTTAGATTGCTTCTCTCTTTGGTCAGTTTCCAACCATTGTTTCTTGTCTTTTCTTCGGTGATGCTTTGGTGAATAACGTGACCCCCCCTTCTTTGTGACAGCCCTTCAAATATTGGAAGGCTGCTATGTCTCCCCTATTTCTTCTTTTCTTTAGACTAGCCAAACCCAAATCCAGCAGCCGTTCTTCATATGTTTTGGTCTCCAGGCCTTTGATCATCTTAGTTGATCTTCTCTGAACTCTCAACATCTTTTTTGTGATATGGTGACCAAAATTGGTTGCAGTATTCCAGGTGTGGTCTTACTAAGGTTTTATAAAGCGGTACTATACTTCACGTGATCTTGATTCTATGCCTCTGTTTATGCAACCCCGGATTGTATTAGCTTTTTTGGCTGCTGCTGCACACTGCTGGCTCATGGTCAAGTGATCGTCCACTAGGACTCCAAGGTCCCTCTCACAATTACTGTTTTTGAGCCAGGTCTCACGTAATCCGTACTTATATCTTTGATTTTTCCTGCCTAAATGAAAAACTTTGCTTTTCTCCACATTAAAACTCATTTTGTCGGATAGGTCCCATTGTTCCAGTTTGTCAAGATCTTTTTGAATCCTGACCTTGTCTTCTGGGGTGTTGGCTGTTCCTGCCAGTTTAGTGTCAAATCTGCAAATTTGATGAGTTCCCCTTCTATTCCCTCATCTAAGTCATTGATGAAGATATTGAAGAGTACTCGGCCTAAGACGGAGCCTTGTGGTACCCCACTGCTTACTTCTCTCCATGTGGATGTAGTGCCATTGAGGACTACTCGTTGAGTACGGTTTGACAGCCAGCTACAGATCCATCTGGTGGTGATGTTGTCTATTCAACCTTTTTCTAGCTCTTCTCAATCCCACCACAATTCCATCCAATGCCCCATCCCACAGAACAAGCCAACCTCCCATCCAATCTATCTACCTAGCCCAGCCTACAACCCTCTTCCCCCAGCCTACAATCCTCTCCCCCCCATAGAATTGGGAGGGATTTTGGAGATTTTCTAGTCCAGCCCCCTGCCCAGAGCAGAGTGCAGACTATTCTGGACAAATGACTGTTCAATTGTTTATTGAACATTTCCTGGGATGGATCCACCCAAACTTCAGGGAATTCTGAACCTCCTAAAGTTGCTAAGGTTGACATACCCTATCCTAGAGGTAGGAGGACAGAAATCCCAAAAGATCTGAGATTTCTTAAGAAAAGATCAGAGGCTTTTATAGGGTTTCCTGAAGGGATTTAAACGGGATTTCTGGTGGACTACATTGGACAAAAAACAGTGTCTTGATGCTACATGAGCCAAAGGCCGAACATAGCAATTTCTCCTTAGTTCTGCTCTCCAAAGCATGACGTTTTCAGGCCAAGTGTTATTTTGGTCAACTGGTGGCCCATTTTTGTGTTCATGCAGGATCACAGGAGGATGGATGACCTCTTCAATCAACATTTCTCAATATTGGATGCTCCCATTTTCTTGTTTCTCAGAATATTGTGACTTGAGTTTTTTTCCAATTGTGCACATAGAATCATCTGGCTGGAAGAGACCTTGGAGGTCTTAATAATAATAATAATAATAATAATAATAATAATAATAATAATAATAATAATAATAATAATAATAATAGTAGTAGTAGTAAAGTTGGAAGGGACCTTGGAGGTCATCTAGTCCAACCCCCTGCTCAGGCAGGAAACCCTACACCATTTCGGACAAATGGCTGTCCAGTCTCTTCTTAAAAACTTCCAGTGTTGGAGCATTTACTGCTTCTGGAGGCAAGCTGTTCCACTGATTAATTGTTCTCACTGTCAGGAAGTTTCTCCTTAGTTCTAGGTTGCTTCTCTCCTTGATTAGTTTCCACCCGTTGCTTCTTGTCCTGCCTTCAGGTGCTTTGGAAAATAGCTTAATTCCCTCTTCTTTATGGCAGCCCCTGAGATATTGGAATACTGCTATCATGTCCCCCCTTGTCCTTCTCTTCGTTAAACTAGACATACCCAATTCTCGCAACCGTTCCTTATATGTTTTAGCCTCCAGTCCCCTAATCATCTTTGTTGCTCTTCTCTGTACTCTTTCTAGAGTCTCAACATCTTTTTTACATCGTGGTGACCAAAACTGGATGCAGTATTCCAAGTGTGGCCTTACCAAGGCATTGAAGAGTGGTATTAATACTTCGCGTGATCTTGATTCTATCCCTCTGTTAATGCAGCCTAGTACTGTGTTGGCCTTTTTGGCAGCTGCCGCACACTGCTGGCTCATATTTAAGTGATTGTCTACTAGGACTCCGAGGTCCCTCTCACAGTTACTACTATTGAGCATGGTGCCACCTATGCTGTACTTGTGCATTTGGTTTTTCTTGCCTAAATGTAGAACCTTGCTTTTTTCACCATTGAATTTCATTTTGTTAGTTAGTGCCCAGTGTTCAAGTCTGTCCAGATCCTTCTGTATCTTGAAGCCTGTCTTCTGGAGTGTTGGCTATTCCTGCCAGCTTGGTGTCGTCTGCAAATTTGATGAGTTCCCCATCTATCCCTTCATCCAAATCGTTGATGAAGATGTTGAAGAGTACTGGGCCCAGAACAGAGCCCTGGGGCACCCCACTACACACTTCCCTCCATATAGATGCAGTTCCATTGAGGACCACTCGCTGAGTACGGCCGTCAGCCAGCTACGGATCCATCTGGTGGTGGTTCTGTCTACCCCACATTTTTCTATCTTGTCAAGTAGTAGGTTGTGATCTACTTTATCAAATGCCTTACTGAAGTCCAAGTAAATTATGTCCACAGCATTCCTCTGATCCACTAATTTTGTCACTTGGTCAAAGAATGCAATAAGATTTGTCTGGCATGATCTATTTTTGACAAACCCATGTTGGCTTTTAGTAATGACTTTGTTTGCCTCTAGGTGTTCGTTGATTCGTTGTTTGATTATCTTTTCCAGGATCTTCCCAGGTATTGAGGTCAGGCTGATAGGTCTGTAATTTCCTGGATCCATTTTTTTTCCTTTTTTGAGGATGGGAACTACATCAGCTCTTTTCCAGTCCTCTGGTAGTTCCCCTGTGTTCCAGGATCTTTGAAAAATATAGTTCAGTGGCTCCGATATCACATCTGCCAGTTCCTTGAGAACTCTGGGGTGTAATCCATCTGGTCCTGGCGATTTGAACTCATCTAGGCTGGACAGGTGCTCCCTAACCATTTTCTTGCCTATCTTAACTTGTGTTTCTTCTGTTTTGTTTTTTATGGCACTATTTTTGATAGGTTGGTCTGTTTTTTCCCTTTGTGTAAAGACAGATGCAAAAAATGAGTTAAATAGTTCTGCTTTCTCCCTGTTGCTTGTCACCTTCTTGCCACTTCCACCCACTAATGGACCAATCATTTCCTTCACTTTTTTCTTGTTTTTTACATGTTGAAAGAAGCTTTTTTTGTTATTTTTGACTTTGGTCGCAAGCCTTAGTTCATTTTGAGCCTTGGCTTTCTTCACTTCATCTTTGCAGGCTCGGGCTATTTGCTGATATTCTGACTTAGTTATGTTCCCCTCTTTCCACTTTCTGTACTTGTCCTTTTTATCTTTCAATTTGTCATAGAGTTCTTTATGCAGCCATGCTGGTTTCTTTTGAGAGCTGTTATTTTTCCTCTTTGTTGGTATTGTGCTAGACTGGCTTTTATTATCTCATTTTTCAAAATTTCCCAAGCTTCTTGAGTTGTTTTCCCCTTGAGGATTCTCATCCATGGAATCCTTCCCAAGCCCTCTCTAAGTTTATTGAAATTAGCTCTCTTGAAGTCCAAGACTCTAGTTTGACTGTGTTCTATTGGTTGTGCTTCTATAATGTTGAATTCTAATATTGCATGATCACTTCCTCCCAGGGTTCCTATGGCTTCAACACCGTCTATCATTTCATCTCTGTTAGTGAGAATTAGATCCAAAATGGCTAATCCCTAGTTCCCTTCTCTACTTTTTGGGAGACAAAGTTGTCTGCTAGGTTTGCCAGGAACCTGTTTGATCTTCCACTTGGTGCGGAGTTTGTCTCCCAGTTGATGTCAGGGTAGTTAAAGTCCCCCATTACTATTGTGGTGTGCTTCCTACATACCTTAGTTAGCTGACTAGCAAAAAGTTCATCATTCTAGTCCTATCTTCTGCTCAAGCAGGAGGCCCTATGCCATTCCGGACAAATGGCTGTCCAATCTCTTCTTAAAAACCTCCAGTGATGGAGCACCCACAACTTCTGGAGGCAAGCTGTTCCACTGATTCATTGTTGTTATTGTTAGGAAATTTCTCCTTACCGGTAGTTCCAGGTTGCTTCTCTACTTGATTAGTTTCCATCTGTTGCTTCTTCTCCTGCCTTTAGGTGATTTGGAGAATAGATTGACCTCCTTCTCTCTCTGACAGCACCTAAAGTTCTGGAAGACTGCTATCGTATCTTCTCCCCATCCTTCTTTCAATTAGACTAGACGGAACTAGTTCCCTCAACTGTTGATCATATGATTTAGCCTCCAGACCCCTGATCAGGACTGGTCTGCATTTATTGCCATTTGCAGTCTCCAGACCCCCAGTCATCTTTGTTGCTCTTCTCTGCATTCTTTCCAGGGTCTCAGCATCTGTTTTGTATTGTGGTGACCAAAACGGGGTGCAATATTCCTTATGTGGTCTGACAAGTGCAGTATAAAGCACTATTAACACTTTACGTGATCTTGATTCTATCCCTCTGTTAATGCAGCCTAGAACTGCGTTGGCTTTTTTGGCTGCTGCTGCACACGGCTGGCTCATATTTCAATGATGGCCAACTAAGACACATAAGATCATACATGAAGGTGTCCATTTATTCCTCTAACTTAATGTTAAAAAACCCAAACACTTCACACCATATATAAATATTGGGCTTCCCATTTTTCTAAAAAACAAAACAAAACACTTTTTTACACATCTACCAAATGTTTACCGAGTTAAGCTTCCCTCCTATAATGCTTCTATAAATTATTTCACAGATCTGTGCATTTTATAGGAAGTCTTCAACTTATGACTGTAATGGAGCCTGCCTATCACAGTTGTGACAGTTTTAAAATAGGCCACCCATGTGACTGACCCAATCTTATGACCTTTTTCACAGCAGTCATTAAATGAATCAGTGGTTCGCTATCAGATGAAATCCGGAAGTTAATGCTGGGGTTTGGCAAAGATGTCATAAAACCCAGTCGTGTGACCATCGTAAGCTGCAAATGACAATAAATGCAGGCTGGTTGCTAAGTACTGGACATACGGTCACATGACCTTGCAGGGGGCAGCCATAGGGACTTTGGAACTGCATCCTAAGTACCCCTGGGAGGACCTTCATAACCTAGAATAACCTGATCTGAAGGATCGAGGACTGGCTGTACACAGATTTTCCCACTTAATCCTTTTTTCAAACACTGGTGAAACAATTCTGCAAAGGTCAAAGAACTTCAGAGCGGAACAGTTGAGGTTCCATTTGTGTATCGATTAAAAATAAGAAACGAAAGGAAAGAAATTATTTTCTCTCCCCCCTCCCTGAGGGGTCTAGGATAGCTCACCACGGCCAACTCGCCGTGGTCACCCGCCACGACCAAGTCAACGTGGGACAAACTCGCCACCGGACAGTTCAAGACTATATTCATCTTTTCATTCAGTTACTTTTATTATTGGCGACCATGTTTTCATTGGAATTATTGTAGTCCTTGTACTTCTGGATTTTATTATTATTGGCCATGGTTCCACCAAAATTGATTTAATTTTGTATTTGTTGTACTGCCCCGTGGCGAGTTGTCTTGCACAAGTCGGCCGTGGCGAGTTGTCCCATCCCAGTCCCTGAGTCAGAAGGATGAGCGTCTGGTGCAGGTGCAGGTCCAGGACCGAAAGTTGGTGCCGATTGTGGAATGAGCCCGGGCTTGTCTTGTCCGCTTGTCTCTCTTGTGATTGGGATCTTCTGCAGGTGCTCCAGGCTGCCTTTTGAAGAAGGAACTCAGGTACTCTCCCAGCTCTGGGGGGGGGAGCATCCCCTGCTAGCTTTGGAGGGGGGGTGTTGAACAAAGGCTACGAGGCTAGATTTGACGGGCGGGGGTTTTGCACCGTTTCATAGATGGTCTTGATGTTTGAGTCTTCACTCTGCCAAGGAGAAGACAGGGACACAGTTATTTGGAGAGCTACCTGGAAAAAGAGGGATTATGGGGGGAGGGGAGCTTTTCGTTTCCTCCTGCAATGAAGGTGAGAATGGACAGGAACACAGAATAACAGAGTTGGAAGGAACCATGGAGGTCTTCTAGTCTAACCCTCTGCTCAAGGCAAGAGACCCTAGATCAGAGGGGCTGAATGTGCTAGGGCCCCCACTTCCTGGCTTTGTTATTAACTGGCCAAGTGTCTCAGCTGTTAAGAATATTTGGTTTGGATAAATATTTTTATTTAGTTTTTAAAAATTGTTTTAAAATGTTTTTATTGATTTAATTGTATATTATAATACTAGCTGTAGTATGTTGTGTGAATGCAGCACAATTGACTGTTTTCAATTCAGGATCCCAGTAATTAGCTTTGTTTAGGTGAAATGTATACTGGAATATTGAGGTGTCAAAAGCAGAAGCAAGAAAGCCACGTGCCTCCTGAGGCTTGGTGATCTCCGAATAAATCGTTTTATCGCCTTGGTTCTGATGGCTGCGCCGACCCTTTTGTATCTTCTCATCATCTGTTTGTAAAGGATTCTGCAAAAGAGAAATTGTTAGCCCGATGTTTCTCAACCATATCAACTTTAAGATGTGTGGACTTCCACTCCCAGAATTCCCCAGACAGCCATGCTGGTTGGGTAATTCTGGGAGTTGAAGTCCACACATCTTAAAGCTGCCAAGTATAAAAAACGCAGTATTAGACTAAGTCTGGAGAATCTGAGCCTTTGCCTTCCCAAAAAATATCTTTAGAAAAGGCCACTACAGGTAACCCTTTACTTACGACCATAATGGAGCCTGCCCATTATGGTTGCAAGTCATGACCGTCATTCAGCAAGATCTCAGAGATTGACTTTGGGAAGGAAAGCCAGATGATCCATCCCTCAGTTGCCCTATACCAGTGATGGCAAACCTTTTAGAGACCGAGTGCCCAAACTGCAACCCAAAACCCACTTATTTATCGCAAAGTGCCAGGGCTGCATCAGTACAGTGGTGCCCTCAGGGGGGGCGTGGGGGCATGGCCCACTGGGTGGGCATGGCTGCAAGGGTCATGGCAGACTGAGTGAGCGTGGCCAGGGCCAGGGTGGCGGGGCCCAGTCCCTCACTATCTCCAGGGCATCCCTGGGGGCCAACACCGCTTGCTCGCTCACTTCCTGCCCTCTCGCTTCCGAACACCACGTGCTCGCTACTCTGGCGAACTCTGTTGGAGCAACGGCACGCGTGCCCACAGAGAGGGTCTGAATGCCGCCTCTGGCACGTGTGCCATAGGTTCGCCACTACTGCCCTATACTGTATGGTGCCCAAATGGCACCATCTTGAATTCATTCAATTCTTTGCAATTGCTCCCAAAATGGAACTGCGCTGAGGTGGCGCAGCAGTTAGAGTGCAGTACTGCAGGCCACTTTAGCTGACTGTGTTCAGCAGGTCAGCGGTTCAAGTCTCACCAGCTCAAGGTTGACTCAGCCTTCCATCCTTCCGGGGTAGGTCAAATGAGGACCCAGATTGTTGGGGGCAATGTAAATATATATATATATATATATATATATATATATATATATATATACATACATACATTGCTTACTGGTGTACACCGCTTAGAGAGTGCAAAGCAGTATATAAGTCTCATAAATAAATAAATAAATAAATAAATAAACAAACAAACAAACTTTGGAACAGTGCCAGATGGCCTCTGTGTAGGAAGGCAGTGTGGAGCAGTGGCTATATCCTGAAGGAGATTTATGGAAAAGGTAAGTGGACCAAGTTGTGACAGGAGGTAGGGTGGGAAGAAGTGGAGACACAGCAGGGAGGGATGAAGGGTTGATGTGGGGTGTCATGGTCAACTCACTACGTGAACCCAGCTCACAACCAGACATCAGAAACAGGAGGAGGAAGGGGGGGTATCGGGGAGGGTAAAGGAATGCAAGTGTGCCAACTTGAAGCCTGGGACAGATCCAGCACCCCAAGGTCATCGGCTGGGAAAGCCCGAGGCGGAGAAACCATTCCCCAAACAACACGAGTGTAACCGATTGGCTAGACAAATGGACAGTGGGAGGACCAGGGGAAGGTTTTCCCACGCTGTTTGCATGCAAACATGTTAGAAGTGGCTTTTCCACTTCTGTACCCACATGGAATTTTCAGTAAAGTTATACCCTTGGTAAAAGATGTCCCATGAGTCTCCTTTGCTGTTTCAACCAGTGGGACGGTTGACGTGGGGGCCACTGCCGTGTCTCTGAAGTTGGTTGTAAGGGACTAAATTTTGTTCACGTGACCCCAGAGACACCACAGCAGTTGTAACTTTGGGCAAGGGTCTTAAGTCTCTTTGTTCAGTGCTACCATAATTTCAAATGGTTGTTGAATGAACAATTGCAAGTCAAGGACTACCTGTGTGAATTTCTGGACACCGTAAACCTTTTAAGTATTCCAGTTTCCTAGAGTAGCTTTGCAGAACAGTTAGCAAATGTACCATTTCCTCTGAAGAAGAAATATATGACCATATACGCAGCTTCGTCTTTTTTTGAAAAACAGAAAATTTGAATTATTTATTTTTAGCATGATGGCAGGAAATTGGACTCTGCTTTAGAATTTGCACAATCCTTTTCGAAACTGGAAGCAATTAGGGCAGTGGTTCTCAACCTTTCTAATGCCGCGACCTCATAATACAGTTCCCCATGTTGTGGTGACCCCCAACCACTTATACATCACCGGGTGCCAGGGGCGTGGCCAAAGAAAAGGGGAAAAAAATGGTGGACAGCCTTGTTTGGTGACCCCCGTGAAATGGTCATTCGACCCCAAATGGGGTCCCGACCCACAGGTTGAGAACCACTGAATTAGAGGAAGACAGGATGGCCATAAGCAGCAAATCCAAACGTCTAAAAGATCACTTGTTAAAAAACAGAGGACAAACAGCACGAGCCATTTGCACTCTCTTTTCTCCAAGTACCGTTCTATTTATATTCATAGCAAAAAAAAAAAAAAGATTTCAACCCAAATTTCCAAACCTTCTCCCCCCCCCCAGTTGTAATCTTTTAGCTCAGGGATCTCCAAACTTGGCAACTTTAAGACTTGTGCACTTGGCTGGCTGTGGAATTATGGGAGTTGAAGTCCACAAGTCTTAAAGCTGCCAGGTTTAGAGGCCCTTCTTTTAGCAGAATCACAATTTATTCTTTGTGGCCTCTAGAAGTGAGTGTATGTGTTTTACCAACACAGCCTCTTCCAGCTTGGTGCCCCTCTGGCTGCTTTGAACCACCAGACCCATATGGCTGGGATTCCAAGACCAGTGTTCAAAAAGGCTGCTGTAAATGGAAAGAGTGAAGGTCCACCTCTCCCCTATTGCACCCACCCGGCCCACCACGATGGGATATCAGGGCATGTTACGGGTCCCATCAATTAGGAATGTACATCTGGTAGGACCACCAAAAAGAGCCTTCTCAGTGTTGGCGTCTATGGAACATCATTCTCCTATAGCTACAGTTGCCCCCCATTCCGTCGCTTTTTCAGAAAGGGCCTCAAAATATAGTGGTGTTGGTGATCTCTTGGGGACCCTGAATGGAGACGGAGCTGATCAAGTGACTGATCTGTTGCTGCTACTGCCGAGATGGGATATGAGAGTGTGGGATTTATGTGTTTGTATGTTGTGATTTTTAACATTGTAAGCCACCCGGAGTGTGAATTGGACAGCTATATAAATTTAATTAATAAATAATCAATAAATACGTCCTACCTGCTTGGGATGCTGCACAGCTGTATAAATGGTGTGGGGCATCTCCTGGTTGTTCTTTGGTGTTCTTCTAGCTGGCTGATTTGTTTTTCTCTTGGTTTGCTAGGTGTTAAAAAAAAGAGAGAAAAAGTGAAATACTGTATTTACTATCACCTGCCAGGTTTACAGCCATTCTGAACTGAAATGGGTTGATGCTGTGGAGAGAGAGTCCCCTGCTTCTTCTGACTCTGGTTTCAACCGGGTGGGGGGTGGGGTGGGAGGGTTATTTTCACTTTCACTCTATTTTTTGCTATACTCTTTACCTTTATTTTACTGTCATTTTCTACTCTAGTTTTTACTATACTTTACCTTTACTTTTTATCCTACCTTTATTTTTTTACTTTCACTTTCACTTTCTATTCGTTACTAGACTCATGTTACCTCGCTTAGTTTTATTTTATCTTTTTTACTTTCACTTTCACTTTCTATTCATTACTATACTCACTTTACCTCACTTTACTTTTATTTTATCTTTTTTACTTTCACTTTCACTTTCTATTCGTTACTATACTAATGTTACCTCACTTAGTTTTATTTTATCTTTTTTACTTTCACTTTCACTTTCTATTCATTACTATATTCACATTACCTCACTTTACTTTTTTACTTCACCCTGACCTTTATTTTTTTACTTTCACTTTCACTTTCTACTCTACTCCAGAGGTCCCCAACCTTTTGGGCACCAGGGACCGGTTCCGTGGAGAGAGGTTTTTCCACGGATTGGAGAGTATGTGGTTTTGTGTCCTGCCTTCATCCCGCGGATGGGGCTTTGCTTGTTTCTGCAGACCGGTGGCTGGCATGCTGTGGCCCAATACCGGTCCATGGACTGGGGGTTGGAGACCCCTGCTCTACTCTACTTATTTTTATTTTATGTTTTGCTTGGCTTTACTCTTTCCTTTATTTTTCAAAGTCACACACAGCCTCTAACCCTTTGGTTGGCTACTGTGTCATTCCCAAAGGCCTCTTTTATGGCAGAAGGGCCACCAATGATCGGGCAGCAGTGATACATTTCAATGCCAGACCAACAAGCAGTTTCTCTTCAAAGTTCATTGACTCTGGGTGTCCCTCTGGAAAATTTAAAATGAAGAAGCTATGAGTAATTTTAGTGAGATTTATTTTTAATTATACACTTGCTGTAAGATCTAAAGCTAACACATTTTTTTCCTCTTAAAGATGGAAAAGTGTCATTTTCTACCTGATTATCTGAAAGTTATCAATTATTTCTTTTCTCTTTAAAAAATTTACCGTAGGATATGCGTCACAAAATTGAACACAACTCAAACTTACAAAAGAAGGAAAAAAAATACAACTTTAAAGCCACAGCACCTCAAGGAACACCCACAACATTCCAATGCATAGCAAGTGGGTGCCCGTCACCAAGTCTGATTCCCCCGCCCCTTTTCTGGCCTTGAGCTCTTTAAAGGAGCCTTGTGAAGACCTCAAATCAGGAAAAGAAAGAAGAGATATCTAGACAGCCCATAACATGCAACTCCATTTTATTCTGTTGAGAAGAACACCTTTCCCCACCTATGGACATCTTCTGCAAGTGTGGATTTCAGTTTCCAGAATTCCCCACACACAAAACCGTGGTTGAGAATCCTGGATGTTAGATCACCTAGCTTAAGAAAGACTTGGTTTTGAAAACCTGATAGCCTTTTCAGATTTCATCTCAAGGGTCTTCCTTCCCCTTATGGAGGACACGGGATTGAGTTGGTGATACTTCAAGAAGAACCAGAGCAGGAGTCAAAATTGGCCCATAGCAGCTGAGCAAAGATCGGGAGGTGAATTCAAGGGGGTGATTTGGACTTCAATGGACTAGTGCAGGGGTCTCCAAATTTTGGAACCTTAAGACTTGTGGACTTCAGCTCCCAGAATTCCCCAGCCAGCAAGGTTTAGCATTAGTGTTAGAGTTGGCTAGCATGGCTGGCTGGGGAATTCCAGGCAACTCCCAGAATTTAAGTCCACAAGTCTTAAAGTTGCCAAGTTTGGAGACCCATGGACTGGTAGATCATCCTGGTCCATTCAAGGAGCTTTGGAAGACCTTTGTTGAGGACCTGGGGCAGGGGGTTGGACTAGAAGACCTCCACGGTCCCTTCCAGCCCTATGATTCTATGTTTCAGGTTCTTATGAACTTACCTTGGGCTGGTCTCCTATTAAGGTGGAATCACTCCTAGGTGGGTTTTCAATCTCTGCAAAGAAAAATTGTGACTGTTATCCAGACGGGCCCTGGTGGAACTCAAGGGCTGGTTGTGACCGTTTGGACTGACAACTCCCAATCCTTTTCAGGGTAAGATAAAGAAATAAAATTAAGCAGTCAAAATATAATTTCCTTTCCTCTGGCCTGGCCTTTTATTTCTCTGTTGCTAAAGGGTGTCTCCCCCTCCCAAACGAGGCTGAATCGAGCGGACATTAATTATTGTGTTGATATTCACTGAAGCAGGCAATTAATTTAATTAAAGGGTTCAGTTTAAACATCAAAACAGAAGCGGAGGAAGGTGCATTTAATAAGCATTAATGATTGTGTGCAAACCTCATTAAGTGGGCCACAAGTCAGTCAGTTAGTCATGCAAGTTGAATCAAGTAGATGTTTTATTTCGTGTTAGCACAAGCAAAACAAGCCTTCCCCCCCCCCCCACAGAAGACATTTACAACAAAAGTAAAGATACTTCATTTAGTAACAAAGAACAAACCACACTTTGTGTAAAACAACTCAGCCAAACAAAACAATGCATACATTGTAAATCCTGTCTGATTCCTTGAATTGGAAATAAAGTGAAACATTTCCCTGTACACATTGAGACCCTCACAAAGTCTAAAACAGGTCAGATCATCCTTTAAAAAAAGAGTTTTTTTTTTCTTATTTTAAATACATTGGTATTTCTTGTTTAGGAACAAGAGAAACAAAATTTACACATGTAGCATGTTCCAACTAGAAATGTAGCGGTAGCTTTCTGGTCAAGCAGAAATGTTTTGCAACCAGCTAAAAAGAAAGCACCATTTTTTTCCTCCTATCTTTTCGACAGTAAATGTGTTTTCTTAGGAGGCCATTTTCTCCTCCGTTCCGTCATGCCTCTGTCTGCTCCAAGTTAATTTCCATGTCTTTTCTGATGGCGGGACGTTTTCCTCCTCCTTCCCACTGGCCACCCTTCACCAGCCAGGTTGTGCTTGTGGGTTGTGCTTCTGGAGAGGATGTTGTGTGTGCCTATCTGCCCTCTGAATTCGTGTTTTCCAAAGCACAACTCTCAAAAGCAAAATATATGCAAACTTTCTAGAGAAGCATCCAAGGACTGCGTGAGGGAACCTCTGAGGACAACTTCAGAAAGGAACGGAGAGAACGGCAGGCCCTCACAACATGGACCACAAGTCACAACAAGCCAAATTCTGAACATTTGTCTTGGCCATCGCATCAGACCAGATGATATTGGATTGTACAGCATGCAGCATCATAAGCTAATCAAACAACTCACTAAGACACACATACAGAAACCCATCCCAACATTTTAATACTGTTGGCCGCCCCACTTCACATCCCTTTGTTTAGTCAGTTTTTTATTTCACGGTAGTTCACCTACTCTCCTCTTTCTTCAGAAATAGAGAGAGAGAGAAAAGAAAAAAGGAAATGAAAAGAGAAAAGGAAGGAAGGAATGAAGGAGGGAGGGAAGAAAAGGGAGGGAAGGAAGGAAGATCTATGTGGTTAGTGGGAATAAACTTCTACTGAATGATTCAAGCTCTGCTTGAAAGGAGCAGAACAAAAGCAATTATTAGTCTGAGTAGTTCTTGTTGTTGTTATTTGCTCTGGGGTCACCAGATACTTGTCCCCTGTCTCCAGTCCTGGGGAAAACAGGAAGGGAGGAAGAAGGAGGGGTATGAAGGAAGTCCCTCTTGTCCCATTCAGGAACCTGTAGCACCATCTGCCAAATAATTGGGAGAAAAAAAACCCCAACAGCCTGTGATTAAAACTTTGACATTAGTGACAATTATTCTCTGTGAGAGCCCCCCAAATATTGGAAGACTGCTATCATGTCACCCCTGGTCCTTTTCATTAGACTGGACCTACCCAATTCCTGCAACCGTTCTTCATATGTTTTAGCCTCCAGTCCCCTAATGATCTTTGTTGCTCTTGTCTGCACTCTTTCTGGGTTCTCACTTGATCAGTGCTCACTTGATCAATGCTGCCAGCCCCCTCTGAGCATGCTCTTAACATCATTAATGTGCACCAGCCTCCAAAACCTGGGGGGGCCCCCCTGAAATTTAGCAATGTGTGTATCATTACAGCAACTCATCTCCTGGACATCTCCTCGGAGGTGTTCAAATCAATTATCTCGGCCTTTGCTATGATGGTTTCATTTCCCCCCTTTTATTGTCTTTCTGTGTCTTTCTGTGTGTGTCTTTTTAATCGTCTTTCTGTTTGTGTGTGTGCATGTGTGTGCAAACCTCCCTGTCTTATGTGGCAGATGTTTGCTGTCTCTTGGGGGAGGGGTCTTGTTACCTGGGTGCGTTGTAAAATGTTGATTCCTCTCGGTAGCTGTGGAAAGAAATAAACCAAATGAAACACAGGAAGTGGGTGGGTTGTGAGCCACAATTGCTCTGTTTGGTGTAAAGCTGGAGGCGTGTTGGAAATATGTTGTGGCTAATCTTGGTGAAGCCCATGAAAAGCGTTGGTGGGCGGACAGGGGGCAGAGTCTAAGGTAGATTTTCCAGCAAAGTTTGGGGTCTCCAGTTCTTGCTGGGGGGGGTTTTCTCCTACCAGAACCCTCTTACCAGTTTGCAATGGGGGGTCTGCTGGGCAGAGGTTCTGTAGAAACCAAAAATGGCACTTTGCCCAGCCCACCAGTTGGCAGCTGTCCAAATGATGGTGGTGAACCAGAGGATGCGAGGAAATTTCTCTTGGCCAGGTAGAGAGGGACAATTCTTGAGGTTGCTGATATCTCCCACCAGATGCAGAAGTTGCTCTGTGAAGCTGGGAGATAAGATGGGCCTCCTGGGACCCTTTCTCTTTGCCCCCCCAGGGAAGCCGTGGGTGCCTGAGGCCTCCTGGGAGATTCTCTTTGCCCATAACTTTCTTTATAGCACCATAAGGAGTCAAAAAAATCAAGATGGTGGACACAGCCATGGGGTCCAAGTCCTGGCCTTTTCATTGTGTGTTGGCTGAGCTCTCTTTCCAAGACCAGCCTCGGAAGGGGATGGCTTGGAGGCCTGAAGGATGCAAGGAAGAGCCCAGATTAAAATGGTTGGGCCTTCCTACCTCTGGAACATCCATGGTGAAGTAAAAGGTCCCCTGGGATGGGGAGGAGAGCATGCCCACCTAGTGGCCCACAGACGCCTGGGTGACGTTCTGGTTAAGCTTTTTTCTCTTTTTGGATGGAGGCAGAAGGAAAGAGAACGGGAGCGGGGAACTCAGTCAGTGGAAGGGGTGCTTTGCAAGGGGGGACACAGCTGAGAAAAATCTTGTACCTTTCTTCCTCCACACACAAACGGCAACAACTAGCAGAATGAGGAAAGGTACAATCACGCCTACGATCAATGCACTGCTTGCACGCGGCCCATTTTCTGCAAAAAAGAACAGAGGTTGGGTCAATCCTGGTCAAACATGAGAAATCCTGCAGAGGTCTCTTCCCTATACAGGTAGTCCTCATTTAGCGACCATTTGCAGTTATGACAGTGATGAAAAAATAACCAATCCTCTCTTTGACAACCTTCGCAGGTCTGTAAAATGAAGAAAAACTGAGGTCAGATCATCAGCACAGTTATGTGGTTTCAATTTAGAAACTGCTTTGTTTAATGACCAAGTTGCCAGTTCCAATTGTGGTTGCTAAAAGAGGTCTCCCTGCATGGGGTAATTTTTCTTTATCCACAATTCCCTGCAACTTACAGAGCTGACCTGGCAACAGCAGAAAGATATCATCTACAAAAATCACCAGAATAACGCAGCCTTCCCTCTCCTTGTCAGGATCATGCTCTCCTCTCATAGAACGCAGAATAACAGGCTTGGAAGGGACCTTGGAGGTCTTCTAGTCCAACCCTCTGCCCATGGAAGGAGATCCTATACCTCCATATCTGGATCAGGAGCTGAAGAAACGTGACTGTGGAACTTTGATTAACTTTCCAATTTGGTTGATGCAGGAATATTGTCCCTATTGCTGAAAAACCCCTTTTAAGTATCTTTTCCAATAACAGGTGTTTCTGCCCAGAAAATCTGCTTCCTATTGGATAGATGTTGAGAAAACCCTGAGCCATTGAGAGACTCCGGGCAGCAGTTAAATATCTTTCAGCCTTTTATTTACAGCTCCTGGATAATGTAATTTCCCTTCTTCTTGTGCTCTGCCACAGCACAAGAGTTCTGCAGAAGTTTCAGCTATTTATTTATTTATTTGAGATTTTGTTAATCTGCCCTATAACAACATATTTAATGGGCCTTACTCCTCCTATTTCCCCCACAACTCCCACCCTTTGAGGTGGGTTGGGCTCAGAGAGATGGACTGGCTCAAAGTCACCCAGCCAGCTTTCATGCCTAAGGCAGGACTAGAATTCTCAGTCTCCTAGTGATTGGCCCAAAGTCACCTGGCTGGCTTTCATGCCAGGATAGAACTAAAATTCATGATTTCCTGCTTTCTAGTCTGACTATCTAGACCAGACTGGCAGAACAGAACTAAATGGAACTATCGGGAAATGGAAGACATGAGGGGTGTGTAACTTTAACAAAAGAAGATTTGAGATCTGAATGGCTATCCTAAGCTAAGAATTAGATTTCATGATATAACTCACTAACAGTAATAGTTTCATATGATTTCAACCATTTACTTGATTGTTAGTTGCCTAGGGTTACATCTTGGCAAGATGGGCTGCATATGCATTTAATAAATAAATAATACATAAATGTTATTTGCAAAGCCCATCACTAGATATATTGTATGAATAGCACTATCTCATCAGGAACTCAAAATAAAAATTAAATTATTTCTCAACATACTATGTCTCAGCACAATAATTTCTCAGCGTAACAACAAACCTCATTCTGGCACTAAAAACTGCCAAATCATCTCTGTATATACCATACATTTGTAGATAAGCCTCAGCAATCATTAAAACTCACATCATGCAATTCATTTCACATTTTTTTCAGCCTCCTCAAAACAATACATAATTGAGAGCCCAATGATAATGTTGGATCACCTCAAAACAGCAACGGGCCTGCAGTTTTAACCACTTTTTTTTACATTTGGTTAACTGGCCTATGAAAACAGTCATTGTGTTTGGTGATTGTGCACTTAGGCTGAGGAATTCTGGGAGCTGAAGTCTGCTTACAGCAGTGTTTACCAAACTTGACAATTTTAAGGCATGTGGACTTCAACTCCCAGAATTCCACAGCCAGCAACGCTGGCTGTGGAATTCTGGGAGTTGAAGTCCACATGCCTTAAAATTGTCAAGTTTGGGAAACACTGGTTTACAGTATGCTGGCCAGTTGGAGAATTCTGGGAATTGAAGTCCACAGATCTTAAAGTTGTGAAGGTTGAAAAACCCTGTTTTAGGCAGTTGCCTCAGTACCTTGGACAGGAACTGATGGAAATGTCAGGATTCCCCTGAGGAAGCCCATACTTTTGGCTATTTGGAGTGATTTACACAATTACAACATTTTTTGCCGAAAACTGGTCTTTACTCCCAGTTTTCAGCAAAAATGCCCCATTGTAAACCATGACATTCACTGCTGCAAAAAAGGTTGTAAAATCGGCCCCACTCATATGATGACCTGCTTTACACAATGAATTATGACCATAATGGACAAATTCCAGTACAGACATAACTTGTGGGACGACCTGTATAATTTTCCCAGCCCTGTCAGAAGTTATTAAGGCTGTTTTTGAATAATATTTAACACTCCTCTAAAATAACCTTACATCCATGCCCAAGAAGAGCCCAACAAGCACCTCAGATTTAACATAAATTTTCAAAGGAGCTGCCTAATCAACTGATTAGGATACATGAAATGTAAAAATATAGGGATGGTGTATGTCAGGGGTCTTCATACTTGGCCCTTTTATGACTTGTGGACTTCAACTCCCAGAATTCCTTAGCCAGCATGCCTGCCTGAAGAATTCTGGGAGTTGATGTCCACAAGTCATAAAAGGGCCAAGTTTGAAGACCCCTGCTTTTTATGATATAAAATACAATGCTGTAAAAATCAACCTAGCTAAAAAGGATTATTAAAATTATTAGAATTAATTATTGATAGAATGAAGCATATTGACAATATTGGAGGGAGGGGGAATTGTCTGGAAAAGTCTAGAACAGGGGGTCTTCAAAGTTGGCCCTTTTATGACTTGGACTCCGACTCCCAGAATTCCTCAGCCAGCATGCCTGGCTGAGGAATTCTGGGAGTCGAAGTCCACAAGTCATAAAAGGGCCAAGTTTGAAGACCCCTGGTGTATGTGAATGAAAAGTTTGGATATTTAAATATAATTAATTTTGAGAAAATTATGAATGATAAGAGTGATTTGAATACAGTGGGGAAATTAAGCTTAAATAAGAATCTTGAAAACAGGACACATAATGACTTAATAAGATGACTTTTATAAATACAACTGAAATATAAGCTGATTAAAAAGATGTTATATGTTGATGTTATTGTTAGTTGTATAAATACTAGAAAAATGTTTATACTCAATCTTGTATATATCGAAAATATTAAGAATTATATTTATTTAATACAGACAAAAGGAGAATACTATTGGAAGAAGAGAAGATCAAGGAAATATATCATTGATTAACATATTGATTAATTATAGAAATTAATTATTATTGATTGTTTTTAAATATATGAGCCCAAACAACACACTGTTTGCTAAGCACTAGGGATTGTTATTGTAAAAAATTAATAAAATATAATAATAAAAAAGAAGGGGATTAGTCCAGAAAGCTAAAAGTGTCCATAGAACATAGAATAATTCGGTTAGTGGAACCTTGGAGGTCTTCTAGTCCAGCCTCCAAAAGAAATACAAAATGCTCGCACAAACCTCAGAGCAAGTTGCAGCAGAAGGCTAAATTGGCAGCTTCGACCATCTGTGAAAACATGCCTTCTTCCCAATTTCCCTTAATATTACAGTGAGTGATTTATCGATGCTTTCCTGCCTGCTGGGGGGGGGTTTTAAAAATTTAACTGGGTGTCAGGCATAAGCAATAATGAAATTCAGTAACTTTATTGTTTATTGCCTACGTTACAAGAATCGCTCCAGACTACTTGCCTTTGGCTGGGAAAGATTAGATAAGATTTCAATGATCTATTCAAGAGAGTCTCTTCTATTGGCTTTCAAAAGCCAATAGAATAAAAGGGAGGAGCACAGCTAAGGAAAAGGGGGAAAAACAAATGGCGGACTGCGTTGTTTGGCGACCCCCGTGAAATGGTCATTCGACCCCAAATGGGGTCCCAACCCACAGGTGGAGAACCACTGCTCTAGGAGAAAAATATTCCTGAATGGCCGAGTTGGGGGTAACTGCTGAGACGAGGGGTGGGAGAGCTGCCCACCTCAGTGGCTTTTTCTAAAAGGAGGGGAAGAGAAAGGGGAAGAGGGTTTGGAAAAGAGGGACTGGGGTGACATGAGGGCAGTGTTCCAATAGTTGAGGGGCTCCTGCAAAGACAAGGGTGTCAACTTATTTCTCCAAAGCACCAGAAGGTAAGTAAAAAAGCAATGAATGGAAACTAATCAAGGAGGGAAGCAACCTGGAATTAAGGAGAAATTTCCTGAGGAGAGTTACTCAGTGGAAGGGGTTCCCTCCAGAAGTTGTGGGTGCTCCATCACTGGAGGCTTTCAAAAAGAAACTGGACTGCCTTTGTCTGGAATGGACTCCTGCCTGAGTAGAGGGTTGGACTAGAAGACCTCCAAGGCACCTTCAGACTCTGAGGAGGGGGGAGGCTCCAGGAGTCCCTGTAGGCAGGTGGTCCTCTCCCTTTTCCCACCTGCCCGCAATGCTGCAACTTGGGCAGGGTGTACTCACCACACCCATCTGAGAGATTTGCCTTGGGCACCCTTGTGTATGTATAAACTCTGCTCTATAAGCAGGACTGGGAGAAAAATTATTAATTTCTTGCCATTGAATTAATAAGGCCTGCTTAAAATGAATGACCTATAAATGAGTTTCAGTTATACATTTTAATTACTATACCCCCACACCACAAGGATGCGAATCTTGACAGGCACTCTTGTATTTGTGGTGGGAACAGGAAAAAAAATAAAAATAAAGGAAAAACCAGGTTGGAGAGACGTGGAAATATCGAACAGAAAAAAATAAAATAAAAAAAGAAAGGAAATGCTGCCTTGTTTGGGTCTTGCAAAAAGCAATTAAAATTTGCAAGGCAAAAAATGCTAAAATCCGGGAAGGGACAAAACGATAGGCATGGAAGGGGGGGGGGGAAATCCAGGTGATTGCCACTGTGCAAGAAGGAGGACTAGGGGTGACAGGATAGCAGTCTTTGAGGGGCTGCCACGAAGAAGAGGGGGTCAACTTATTTTCCAAAACACCAGAAGGCAGGACAAGAAACAATGGATAGAAATATGTCAAGCAGAGATCCAACCTAGAATTAAGAAAAAAATTCCTGACAGTGAGAACCATCAGCCAGTGGAACAACTTGCCCCCAGAAGTTGTGGTTGCTCCATCACTGGAAGTTTTCAAGAAGAGACTGGACAACCATTTATCCAGAATAGTATAGCATGTCCTGCTTGAGCAGGGGTTCCCCTCCAACTCTGTTATTCTGTTATTCTGATTAATGGGGTGGTAGCTCCCAGCAGTATCACTTTCAATAGTTCAGCTTTTAGGGCTGGTTTATCCCAGGGTTTTGTTATCCCATCTTCCAGGATTCATGAACTGTGTGAATACAGCCTAAAATTCATTCTTGCATTAATCGGGATAAGTCAAGTCTAAATATTTCTTTTTTTATTAGTTTGTTAGATTCATGTCTTGCTTTTCCTTCTGGCATTCTGACTCTCTGCCCTGGAAGACTTGGGGCTTGGAGGAATTTTCATGGGGTTCCTGAGCAGAGTGTGCACAGAGTGTGCTACAAGTTGTATGGGAGCCAGAATCTGGTTAGTAGAGAGACAAGATAAAGCAGCAAACTTAAAGTGCAACTGAAAGATAAAGAAATAAACTCAAGCCAGACATGATTGGCTTAAATAGTGTATCTCAATAACAATATGCTATCCACTTTTTATTGTTCTTTGGAGTTTTGTTTTACAGACTCACTGTGTTATGTACAACATACAAAAACACATCGGCTTTATTAATCTACAACATACATAAAAACATCAGCTTTATTAATCTACAACATACGTAAACACATCAGCTTTATTAATCTACAACATACAAAACACGTCAGCTTTATTAATCTGCAACATACAAAACACATCAGCTTTATTAATCTGCAACAGACAAAACACATCAGCTTTATTAATCTGCAACAGACAAAAACAATCGGCTTTATTAATTTGCAACATACAAAACACATATTGGCTTTATTAATCTACAACATACCAAAACACATCAGCTTTATTAATCTGCAACAGACAAAACACATCAGCTTTATTAATCTGCAACAGACAAAAACACATCGGCTTTATTAATTTGCAACATACAAAACACATATCGGCTTTATTAATCTACAACATACCAAAACACATCAGCTTTATTAATTTGCAACATACAAAACACATATTGGCTTTATTAATCTACAACATACCAAAACACATCAGCTTGATTAATCTGCAACATACCAAAACACATCAGCTTGATTAAATCTACAAGGGCTCTTAACTAGCTTTAAGCATTATGGCATGATGGCACATGATAGGAGGACTGTTAGCATGTGACTGACCTGGGCCTGTTGACCTGGGCCTGGGGAGGACGGATAAGGGCCAGGCGATGGAAATGTATTTAAACTGCTCTGTTACCGGAGTATGGTCTCTTACTAGCAGCTTTGAGGTCCACCAGCCTTTGCAAACGCTTTGTAAATAAAAACTTTGTTGTTTCCAACAATTTAAGTGTGAGCCTTGTTTCTCGCAGATGGTTTTTGATGCTCTTTGTCTAATTGTTGATTGATGTTTTGTGCTAGCACTGATGAAGCCACCTAGTTTGGGTCATGAAACGTCTGCCAGGAGACCACCCAGCTCAGAGAGCACCCAGGACCCCACTGTCCAACCCTGAGCTGCAGATATTCGTCTCTGTTTATACACTTTCCAGAAAGGGGCTGCAATTGCAGATAGTCCTGGCACTTACGACCACCACTGAGCACAAAGTTTCTGTTGGTAAGCAAGACAGTTTTTAAGTGAGTTTTGCCCCACTTCATGACCTTTCTTGCCACAGTTGTTAAGTGAATCGCTGCAGTTATTAAGTCAGGTTGTTAAGTGAATCTGGCTTCCCCCATTTGATTTTGCTTGTCAGAAGGCCACAAAAGGGGATCACGTGACCCGGGGACTCTGCGACTGTCATAAGGATGAAGCAGTTGCCAAGTGTCTGAATTCTGATCACGTGACCCTGGGGAGGCTGCAACGGTCGTAAGTGTGAAAAATGGTCATAAATCTCTCTTTTCAGTGCCGTTGTAACTTTGAATGGTCAATAAGTGAACTGTTATAAGTCGAGGACTACCTGTATAGGAGTTTCCTTAGTTTTAGTTCATCCCCCCCTCCTTCAAGGATGGATCTATTAGGTACGCTTGGGGGGGAACCCCTTGGAAAACTATCAAGAGGGAGGGGCAAGGAAGGGTGGAAGCTGTAAGGATGGGGTGGAGCTCACCGTTCTCTTGGGGGGCCTCCGTCTCAGGTCTCCTCTCTGGGGTTCAACGTGATGGGCAGAATGCAAGTGCGAGAGAGCAGATCGAAAGGAAACAGAGATCAGGCAGTGAGCAATCGTGCATCTCTGGCTTGGTTTAGCCATCGCATTTACAGTTACCAGACCCACTTAACCCTCTCTGAAGCATATTGTCAGGCCTAGTTAATTTTATAACCATTTTCTCAGGCCAAAGCATCTTTCTCTATTCTTTACTACAAACACAAAACTATTGCAAAGGAAAACAGGAGTAATAAAAGCAAAAGTGAGGCCGGAAATGCATATGCAATGAGACCATTATCACATCTCTGAGTCAAGGCTTGCAAAACGAAGGGAGTAACTGCATTCATCTAATGCCACTGAGCAGCCTGAAGCATTAATACGCCTCTTCTTTTAAACACAAAACATATGTATCATTAGCTAACTTAAAGTAAAACCATTTTCTCTACCAAAGTGCAAAATATATTTCTGTCCAACGGCTTTGCCAATTCAGGAGGTAGATTTAACTAGGTGAAATATATTCTCAATAACTGGAATGTCTGTGCAGTGTCATCATCACCTCGCCATCTAGAGATCTGTCTAGCAAGGAACCAAACAAGGAATTTTGACTCCTTGTTTGAGGATCCTTCCAGGTTCCTATTTCCCCTGATTTAGTGTCCCTGTTGGAGAGCAACTATCCCTGTTGGGAGGAGGGCTCAGGTGGGGAATTAGCCTAGACACGCTACAAAAACACAAGAAGATAAAATCTGAAAGCCTTATCCGGTCTTTCCCAGGTGAAAGCTGCCCATCTGGACAAATTCCTGTATTATAGTCAGAGAACAATAAAGTAGCCAATTTGAACTCTACAAGTGTGGGTCTGGTTGTTCACACCTGACAATTCGTGGATCCTACAGTTAGGATAAACCAAGGCAATTTGGCTGCCTTCTCCTAAATTAACTGATCAGTTGTGCCAGTCGCCAGTTCTACATTTCATTGTCTGTAAACCCAGTTTCTTTTCTTGGAGATGATGTATATGGGATTTGCTAACAGAGTGATCCAAATGAAATGTTGCTGGTGTTATTATTCACAAGGGAAAGATGCACACAAGGTGCCTCAGTGGTCAATCTCAGGAAATGCTGAAATGCTTAGTAGCTTCATAACTGGAGAAACTCCTCAATCAGCTGCTTTCTGATTCTTAATGCCACATATGTAATCCAATGGAAAGGGAAAACTAAAAGGCTAAATAGGATTTCAAATTCCAGTTAGAGATGCCTTCCCCTCAACCTGATTAAAAGAGGAAAAATAAATTAAAGGAATATAATTGGTGATGGTAGGAAGTAGTGCTTAATAACTTTAATCCATATGCTTGCACAGACTTCTTTGTGGATTGTTGGTGTAGCCCAATCCCTTTTGAAATTCCATGGTTCTTCTGCAGGACCTTCTCCAGGACCTTTTGTCTCCCAGCTAAATGTAATAGTAACAGTATAACAGAGTTGGAAGATCTTTTACATCTTCTTGAGAGTCTTCTAGTCCAGCCCCATGCTCAAGCAGGAGACCTTATATTCCAGAGAATCTCAGATCCACCTCTGGTTTCACGGCCTCTTTTAAGAATATAAAAACTTACCCGCACAAACTTGTTTTAAGGAGACCATCCTGGATGCACTGCTAACAGGGTTTTCTGCTGTGCATGTTGCATTGAGATCTTGGGAAACAAACTGGATCACAGAACTCCCAGGGCTGGGATCCGTGCTCTTAGCGACTGAAGTCCAGCTGATATTCACCCTGTCTTCCCAGGTCTTGGTAGAGCAATTCAGCTGCCAAGTTCCATTTCCAGCCCCATCAGAAGTGCAAGTCACTTTCAGCTGAGAGTCCAGCAACTCTCCTAAGCAGGAGATGGAGAGACACCGTTTATGAAAGACCAGAAAATTACAGGAAGGCCAACAAGGGAAGAAAAGCAGCAACAGCATGGATCAGCCAGTGGTTTTGTTTATGTAAGGACCCACCTCAATTCCTTTTCCCATGAAAGCAAAACTCCTGGAACAGCATCTTTCCAAAAGGAACTTTTATTGGGAGAAGTTGACAATAGACATAGAAGGCAGGATCTAAAGGTTTCCCATGGGAAATAATAGTTTAAAAGAGTCATTCACAAACCCCATCCCAACTGTCTGTTTGGATGGTTCAAGCTGGCCAATCCACAGGCATGAAGTGGTGGTGGGAAACAGGACCATAAAGTGCCTCTTTCAAGGCTGCTACTTCGTGCCTTGATGTCTGCGGCTTCAGTGGCCAGAGGGAAGACAAATGGCCCAAGGCACATTCCTTTCTCACCCCAAGGAACATCAAAGGGATAGAGTAAGGCACAGGCATGAGAAAGAAAGCAGAGAGTGATATAATGTAGCACCCCAGCGTCCCCCCCCTCCCGCTGAACTAATGGCGGAACCTGAAAATAAGACCCCAAATGAAAGAAATGGTTTTGACAGTTTAGATTAGAGGAGAAAAAATATGCATCACCCATTTGTGTCACAAATAACAATCCCAAAATCTTCTCCAGTCGCACCTGTGACACTCATGGGTGAGGCCCACCAGGGAGAAGACAATAGGACCCTTCATCCTCTGCCCTCCACCAAACCCTTCTGAGAACAGGATGATGAGTCTCCAGGCTCACCTCCTCAAGCCCCCTTGACTCTTCCCCAAAGAGCTTGTGAGTCCAGCCAGTCCCACCAGATCCATGGAGGGGGTCCTGAGGGTCTTCTCTGGAGAGTCCAGCCTCAAAGCAAACCTGCCTTTCTCCTCCCGACACCCCACCCACCTGGCTTGCTCTGGTGCAGGCTGGGCCACATGGAGGGGGAAGCCTGGAGAAGGCTGGGCTGCCCCCCCCCTCAGGCCTCCTTCCAAGGGGAGGGGTTCAAAGGAGACCACTTGAGCTCCACTTCTAGCCCATCATAGAAATGCAAGTCCTCAACCGTGCCAAAGCTCCTGGCATGGAAGATGGTCAGCAGGATGGAACAGACAGGGAAATGTTGGCCTATAAGTGGAGCAAAGATATGCTAGGCTACGCCTGAGGAGAACATCGAGCCAATTTGCATTGTATAAATGGACCAAACTCTGCCCAAACATCTGACGGGCAGAACATGCTGGAACAAAAGGCAAAAAGGAAAGCAGTAGGTGAGCAGTTCTGGGCTCCATCCAGAAAGTGTGTCTCTTCAGAAACTGGACACCCAAAGCCCCCCCCCAGCAGAAAAGCCCCACCTCTCCACATTATCCTGGGCAAAGGAGGGAGGCCAGGAGTTTGCTGCCATGGCTGGGATACTTACTAAAAACCCGTAGCTCAAAGAATTCTTTCACTGCCTCTCCAGTTTGTAAAACAATTTGTGTAGTGTATTGTCCTGCATCCTCTTTCTTCACATGACTGAGAAGTAATCCTCTGCAGTCCTTGGAAACAGTCACTCTGTTTTCAAAAGCTGGTAGGAGGACCAGAAGGGCACATGGCTCCCTAAAGGTCACCACAGCAATATTTCCAGATCCGATGCCGGAAATTTTATTCCAGGATATTGATTTATAGGGTCCAGTGATCTTCACTTGGAATGTGACAGTTTCCCCCAGAACCCTGTTCAGTTCTTCTGCTCCGGAAGCTTCTGCATGGTCAGAGAGAAGAGAGAGAAGAAGCCTTCAAGGTTGGATCACAAGAGACCCTCCAAGCATCCCATTTCTGACCCTCAAATTTCAGGGAAACCTTTTCTAAGAAAGGGCAAAATGGTTCCCGGATAAAGGACATGGTGGTGTTTCCCTGGGCAAAGGCCTTCTCTTCTTAGAGAAATCAGAGGGGTTCAAATGTCCTATGTGGGAGCTCAGTCCTCCCTTTGGGGTTCAAAAGGGGGGGGTCTGCCCAACCAGGGAGACCCAAAGCTCCACCAGGCCCCAGGCTGATCTGCTCAAACTGAGTGCCCAAACTGCAACCCAAAACCCATTTATCCCAAAGTGCCAGGGCCGCATCAGCATTGTGCTGCCCTCAGGGGGGGCCAGGGGCCCCTGGGTGGGTGTGGCTGTGGTGGTCATGGCAGACTGAGTGGGCATGGCTGGGGATGAGTATGGCCCCCTCGATATTGCTTGTGGGGGGGATGCCTGTGGAGGCCGGGCAGGGTTGAGGAAATCCAGGGGGGTCTCTGGTGGGTGGGGCGGTGGGCAAGAGCCTCGTCCTGCAGGATGAGGCAAGGCAAGGCAGGGGACAGGGTGGGGGTGCCATTGCTTTGGGGCAAGGTGAGGCAGGGCCCGGGGCGGCTGCTGCCTGACACTATTGGCTCCTGCACACAGAGGCCAACGACCACATGGGGTCGACGGTGTCCGTCAGCAGCCACAGCCTGCCGGTCCCTCAACTCTCCACTCCGCAACCTGCTGCCAATACTGCGCCAGCCCTCCAGCAGCAGGCAGAGTAGGGGAGGGGGGAGGCACATGATGCAGATCGCCAGATGCGCCTACTTCATCCCATCTGTTTTTGCTTGCGGTTGGAGAGCAGGTCACTGCTGGTTATCTCCTTAGCCCCCTCGCAGATTTTGGCCGTGGGCCAAACATGAAGCCTGTTCCCCTCACACACCCAACACATTTTGGCCCTGCCTCGGGCTGCCGCCGCCAGCAGATCACACAGGTCCATTAGGCTGCCACCACTGCCCGGAGTGCCTGCCCCGCCCAGCACAAAGGCGAAAAGACCAGCTAGCAAGCTTGAGTAGAGGTGGTAGAGCACGCCCACGCCCAGCAAGCCAAAGTCCACCCCGAGCGGGGAAAGCCGGATCCCCATCGGCACCATGGCCCTCCAGTTTCAGCTAGGATTGCATGCCTCCCCCCATCTCTGCTGGGCCTGGGCGGCCATGACGCCAATGGGGATCCGGCTTTCCCCGTTTGAGATGGCCTTTTGCCTGCTGGGCCTGGGCGTGCTCTATCATCTCTAAGTAGGGTTTCCTAGCCAACCGCTTTGCCTCCTTCGTGCTGGGTAGGCCTGCAGCTGGGGGCTACAGCCTAATGTCACTCATGCCCTTGTCACCTCATGTCTGGACTACTGCAACGCGATCTACATGGGGCTACCTTTGAAAAGTATTTGGAGACTACAGTTGGTCCAGAATGCAGGCGCGCAAGTGATAGTGGGTGCTCCTCGGTACACCCACGTTACACCTATCCTCCGTGAGCTGCACTGGTTGCCTATTGGTCTCCGGGTCCAATTCAAGGTATTGGTTATTACCTTTAAAGCTCTATATGGCTCAGGGCCAGGCTATTTGTGAGACCGACTACTACCTCATAGTTCCCTTCGTCCAGTTAGATCCCACAGGCTGGGCCTCCTTCAGGTCCCGTCGACCAAGCAGTGCCATTTGGCGGGGCCGCGGGGGAGGGCTTTCTCTGTGATGGCGCCCACGTCTTGGAATCAGCTCCCCCCGGAGATTAGGACCGCTCCCACCCTGTTGGTTTTCCGCAAGCTGCTTAAGACCTGGCTTTTCCGGCAGGCCTGGGGTTTATAAAATCTGACCCCTGGATGAATGTTATTGTATTGTTTGTTTGTTAAGTTATGTTGTGTTTTTATTGTAAACCGCCCGGAGTCCTGCGGGAGTGGGGCGGTCTATAAATTTTAATAAATTAAAAAAAAATTAAAAATTAATTAATGGACCTATGCGAGAGGCTGGCAGCCACAGTAGGTAGTGAGGTGTGCAAGGGGAATGCGCTCCACCCGCAGGCCAAGGGCAAGATGCTCAGGGCTGAGGAGATGACCAGTGGTGACCAGCTCTCCAACCAAAGAGATGGGATGGAGTAGGTGTGTCCGGCGGTCCACATCACGTGCTCCCTCAACTTGTGCTGCCGGTGCCGCCATAGCACTGCTGCTGGAGGGCGCAGGACTGGTATTTATAGCAGGCTACGCAGCCCCTGCTGTCTGATGCTGTTGGCCCCCGTGCGCTCACCACCTCCTGTGCATGCGCTTTGGGGGCTGCTGGGTGGGGCCAAGTGGGGCTGGGGCCAGGGCGGTGGGTGCCAATCCCTCGCCATCTCCGGGGCATCCTGGGAGTGGCAACGCTGCTTGCTCATTCACTTCTTGCCCCGTCGCTTCCAAACGCCACGTGCTCGCTACTCTGGCGAACTCTGCTGGGGCGACGGCACGCGTGCCCACAAAGAGGGCTCTGAGTGCCGCCTCTGGCACGCGTGCCATAGGTTCGCCACCACTGTACGAGGGAAACTGACTGTCCTTGGGGTATCTCTGCTGTCATTTTATTAAGGAGCTCCTGTAAACTTGTAAGCAATTTGGGTATTATCTCATTTAGTATGTATGCTTAATGCTCTGCTTTTAAATCTATTTAATTGAGCTAATAAAGTTTAATCTCCCTTTATTTATTGGGGTGTTCATTATCTCTGGATCCAAAAGAACCAATTGCCCGTGCACCTAATCACTGCCCTAACATTTCACAAAATGGTTAGTATTCATAACATGCATTTTGCTATGTTATGAACTTGATCTCTCTCAAGAAGATCCCTGTTCCAATGATGGTGCATAGATGTGCAGCAGAATCCAGAGGATTAACTATTCCTCTCCCCTCAGCTGCATTTTTCTTCTAGGACACAACCATCCATTCACTGAGATCCTTAGGACAGTGTTTCCCGAACTTGACAATTTTAAGGCATGTGGACTTCAACTCCCAGAATTCCACAGCCAGCATTGCTGGCTGTGGAATTCTGGGAGTTGAAGTCCACATGCCTTAAAATTGTCAAGTTCGGGAAACACTGCCTTAGGAGGATCTCACAGTAAACATAATGAATATGGGTGGGGGAGACTATGACTTGGCCATGGTCTCTTCTGGCCCATCTGGCACCTTTTTATAAACCCAAATTTGAGCCTTTTCCTTGTGACCTATATTAAACCAAATTCAAGCTCTTTATCACCATTGTTTTTTGGGTTAAAAGACAGTTCCTTTTTCCCTCTTCAGAATCTCATGAACCTTTCAGGGCAGAATTCCAAACTTCATTTTGTGATTTTATAATGAGGGATGGTCAGCAAGAGTTATTCAGCTTCATACTCCTTTATGTAGCCTTCTGAGAATAATCACACAAGGAGCCCGAAGTCCAGTCATTACAGGATTGAAACCTAAATATTCTGTTGTTTTCATTTTTAGTAACTGGTAATTGTTTAACTGTTCTCATAATAGAGTAGTATAGGTTGGTTCTGTGATTTAGACTGTTACAGGTTTTTTAAAAATGGCCTGTTTCATCTTTATAAGGTTTCTTTCTCTTACAACTGTCTTAAAACTGTACTTAATTTGGCCATATAAAGCAAACTAACTAATGTTCTGTCACATGCAGAGAACTTATTTAGTTTTAGAGTGCACAGAAGGATCCACATAACACACAGTCTCTGTCTTGCTAATCTTTCACCCCAGGATCTCCTGTCTGAGTGGGATAATTCCCTCTGCCTGATGGATGCTCAGGGAGGCTCTGACTGTTTTCAGGCCTTTCAACTACTCTAATCATAGAATCCTAGAACCATAGGGCTGGAAGGGACCTGGGAGGTCTTCTAGTCCAACCCCCTGCTCAATGCAGGAGACCCTATACCATTCCAGACAAATGGTTGTCCAACCTTTTCTTGAGAGCCTCCAGTGATGGAACGTCCATAAAGAAGGCTGTTCTTTGCTAAGCGCTTCTCCGTGGACAAAGGATCCTCAAGTTCCATTTCATGGTTATGAATTCCCCAAATGGGAGCATCCACTAATAGCTTTTAAAAAATGACTTCAAAAGAAATGTGTTGCTACTCATGTGGTCTTCGCCTCTGCTCTCTCCCACGTTAACAGCTTCGCTTGTGATGTTCCTTCCCCATTTTTGTGTTGTTGTTGTAGACACAAAACCAAAGAAGCTCTCAAAATATTATTGCAGATGACTTCTCTTGAAAACCGCCTTTCGCCACATGACCTTGGGATAACCCATGCTCAGCACCTGGGAGCATCCCATGTTTAGATGCAACTTCACTCCCTTATAGTTTTCAGGGTCTCACTGACTGAAGGAGGGCATCCTCAGAGTTCCCTTGAATCGTCCTTCAAGTGACTGAACCAACTGAGAGGAGATTGCTCTGCCAACTTTGCCAACGCTTAGGGTGGTTCACCTTTTTTTTTCCAGAACTATCACATGCTTTTTTCTCAAAATAGTTGGTCAACAAGGGCATGAGTCTTGCTTGGGAAAATCTTGGATTTGATTCCAATCAAAAGTGAAAAAATGGCAGGGTGGAGGATGAGAAGGATGAGCCTTACCTGCTTTTTCCAAGTACTCACTGAACTCCTGAAAGAACCTGTTCATACACCTTGGACCAGGACTTCCCAACCTTGGCCTCTTTAAGACATATGGACTTCAACTCCCAGAAGTCCCTAGCCAGATGGCTGGGGAAAACTAGAAGTTGAAGTCCATGCATCTTAAAGGGGCCAAGGTTGGGAAACTGTGCCTTAGACACACCCTTATGGAGCTGTTCTTGGAGAAGCACTCTCTGGACCTCAGATGAGATGGAAAGTACCAGGTTCTCCTCTCTCAACCATGTTCACTGACATGTGCCTCCTTCAGATGGGTCTCGGATGACCTCCTTCCTCCCATTAGGCACAAAGACTGAGCTGGAAAGGGTCCTCAG